AGAGTATCTTGTTTTCAAAGGTACTTTTAATCTGACAAACGACGAGACGGGTGTGTTGATTTGGTGAATATGACGGTAAAGTTCTAATTTGGGAAGCTAAAGAGCCAACAATAACACTGCTATTATTGACTAATACTAATATTTTTAAACAACTGCTGATTCCAAGATCACAATTTTTCCAAGATCTGAAAGTAGACACCTACCATCTCCCTGAAATGAAAGAAAAATCATCAGAAACGTTTTACAGTCTAATTAAGTAAAGAGAGCATCTTTAGAGGAGTCAGTTTGAGTCTACAAACACTTACACCCTCTCTCAAGCGTGGTGGCGGTGGAGTGTCATCCTTCTGGGTGTTTTGTTTTGCTGCCATTTCTGGTGTTTTGCTAAAAAGTGGACAAATCCTGAAGACGGAGGAATAACTCCAACTCTTTCAGCTTCTTCTTAAATCCACAGCAAAGCTGACAGAGCTGCGAAAGGTTAAGGTTCAGTAACGGCCTCAACCTTAATTTTGTTGAAAACATGATGATCGTTCGTAAAAGCCACACAAAAACCAGCCTCTGTAAATTAGCACTGCTTAGAGATGTCAGATATGCAGAATTAAGCCAGAAGTGTTGATGGCTACAAAACTTGCAACTTGCTGAAAGATATTTATCCAGATATTCCTGGGGCTGTATGCATATATATGAGCCTGTTTTTAGAGATTTGTGAAAATCTACACTAAATTCTGATATCAAATTCATGCTAATGCTGAGTGGATGTGACCTTGCCACCAGCCTTGTTCACAGCAGATGCTTACCAAACCTCAGCCCGTTTCTCATCTGCTGCTTTCTGGTGTCGCCTTCTCCCTCCAGAGCCGGTGTTCAACAAGGACCAGCCGCTGCTCACCCACATCAACTCCACCCACGCGGGACTCAACCTGCAGGGCTGGACCAGTGGCGGCTGCCCCATCACTGACCTGATGCTGGACTTCAGGCCCAAAGGCACCTGGGCCTGGCAGAGCCTGAAGGCCAACTCCACCAACCAGCTGTTCCTCAGCGAGCTTCGCGAGGCCACATGGTACGAGCTCAAAATGAAGGCCTGCAACAGCGCCGGCTGCGGAAACCAGACCTCCCAGTTTGCTACCACCGACTATGACGGCAGTGAGTGGTTTTTCTTTCTTTTTTTTTCCTCCTTTGTTTTCCTTTTCTCCTTCCTGTCTCTGAATTTCAACTACTCTGGTGCTATTTCTCCCAACTCTGCTCAGGTACGATCCCCCCCATTAAATCTGCCCGCGGAGAGGGGGACGACGTGAAAAAGCTGTTCTCCATCGGCTCTCCCGTCATCCTGGTTACTCTGGGCGTGGCTCTGCTCTTCATCATCCGTAAGAAACGCAAAGAGAAGAGGCTTAAACGGCTCAGGGGTAAGAGATGGAAGAGATAAATCTGTTGAATAGATTATTGTAGCACTGCGCTAAGATGCGCAGATTATAGTCGAGGCTAACAGCAAGCTAATTAAGTCACTCTCATTACAGATGCTAAGAGCCTGGCTGAGATGCTGATCAGGTGAGACTTATTTTTTATAACAACGGCACAATGTATTCTTAAAATATTCTATAGTTATGAACAAAATGTGACGACCACAAAATCAACGAAAGACGTGCATGACTGTGGAGAACTGTGATGCACCTGCATCACTTCCAGCGCAATCAATATGCTTCAGATTAGTGAATTAAATTGTTAGTATATGTCCTGTGGAGGCCTGAGAAAAGTTTTTGTTCTAAAACTTTGTGAACAAACGTAGTGAATATCAATATTAACTCTGCAGAAGAATGAAAGAAATATAATGAAGCAAAGCGTTGAAAGAAAGCCATATAAAATATATATAACTTTTAAAAAACAGTTTAAAAAGGAGCTTATTGGGAAATATGTTGCATAGGATGGGAGTCTCAAAGACCAAAAATGCGCTCGATGACATTAAAAACATATAAATAATTGTACATTTAGGGTGGAGAATGTGAGATTTAAGTGAGTAGGAGAGGGACAGGAAGTCACAAAATCTTGTATATCCTTCCTGCCACTTTTCCAACAAATAATGTAAAATTTTATGTCAATGTGCCTGATAATTTGTTTTAATTTCATTTTTTTCTTGTTTTTACTTTTTGTCTGTTTGAAATAAATAAATTAAAAATAAAACGACGTTCTTTTCAGACGAGCCTGAAACTGCCATTTTTTTGGCTACCAGTAAAATGCTAATTGTGGACTAAAACTTCATCTGTAATGGTGAAACATGGTTGATCAGATAGAAGGTAGAAGGAAGGAAACGCAGGTCAATCCAGAACACTGATTCCTGCAACACAGAACTAAAACGAAACGGTTAGGATCAAAGCATATTCAGACCTCAATCTAATTGAGAATATGTTGCAAGATTAAAAAATGTATGCTTTATATCGACTCTGCATGCAACACTTGACACCATCGCGTGTTTGTGCGTCCAGCAAGAACAATCGCAGCATAGACACGCCGGTGAAGGGCCCTCCGCAAGGGCCGAGGCTCCACATCGACATTCCCCGAGTCCAGCTGCTCATCGAGGACAAGGAGGGAATCAAGCAGATAGGCAAGTCACTGGATAACAGGACGTTAAAATCATCTGTCCTGATGGTCAGTTTTACAGCAGGAGTGTCTTAAAAACTGCATTTCCGTGGGTCTGCGGCAGGAGAGGACAAGGCAGCGGTGCCGGTGACGGACACCGAGTTCAGCCAGTCGGTGAATCCGCAGAACTTCTGCACGGGCGTGTCTCTGCACCACCAGGCCCTGATCCAGAATTCAGGACCTCTGATTGACATGTCAGACATCCGGCCTGGCACAAGTGAGCTCGCCTCGTGTTTTTATGCTCGGACGTCTGGAAGTAGGCGTCTTGACTGCTGAATCGTTGATGCAGATCTGAACTCTGATCTCTGTGTTGTCGCTCAGACCCCGTGTCCAGGAAGAGCATAAAGTCCGCTCACAGCTCCAGGAACAGATACTCCAGCCAGTGGACGCTGAGTCGACCGAGTCAGTCCACAGCTTCGGCGCGGACTCTGACGTCCGACTGGCGGACGATGGGCTCCCACGGCATCACCGCCACCGAGAGCGACAGCTACAGCGCGAGCCTCTCTCAAGACACGGGTTTGTCAATCCGACCGCTGCCATTTGTTGGAAAAGGGTAAACACTGACATTTGGTATTTAAGTTTCTGAGCATCCCTCCTTTGTTCTTCCAGACAAGGGTCGTAACAGCATGGTGTCGACGGAGAGCGCCTCCTCCACCTACGAGGAGCTGGCCCGAGCGTACGAGCACGCCAAGCTGGAGGAGCACCTGCAGCACGCCAAGTTCACCATCACAGAGTGCTTCATCTCCGACAGCTCGTCGGACCAGATGACCACCGGTACCAACGACCCCGCGGACAGCATGACCTCCCTCAGCACGCCGTCTGAGCCGGGCATCTGCCGCTTCACCGCCTCTCCGCCCAAACCGCAGGACTACGACCGCGGGAAGAACGTGGCGGTGCCCATTCCCCACCGGGCAAACAAAAGTGAGTGGGACAATTTGTGTAGATATTTTTACGGTACTTTGCAGAAGTTTTCATGCCCCTAGAACTTCTCCACATTTTGTGTCGCCACAGCTACATGAAATCTTTATTGGGATTTTATGAGCCAAGGACCAAGACAGTGTAGTGTCTAGCAGTTTAGTAGAAGAAAAAAACCAAATATTTTCCAAATGTTTTTAGAAACAAAGCTGAATAATTTGGTATGCGTTCGTATTGAGCCTATCTGGATTAACACTGTAGAAACACTTTAGCTGAAATTCCAGTTTCAGCTAAAGTTTGAAACTTTAACTCTACATTTGCAAATCTAGAGTTTGACATTTCTTCCCGTTCTTCTGTCACCTGATTCTAGGTCAGATTGGCTGAAGTGCTTTTGTGCAACTTTTCAGCTCTTGCCATTGCTTCTCTATTGGATCTAGGTCTGAAAAAAAAAGGTCACAGGTTGATCCCTGAGATCAACAAGCACTCAGATTCCTTTTCAGTTAAAAAGAAAACTGCATTCCTGTCCTGATTATTATTATTATTATTATTATTTTCCCCTCCAACAGGCGAGTTCTGCAATCTTCCCCTTTACATGAAGGCAGACCCATTCTTCCGCAAGCAAGGGGACTCTCTGCACGACCCATGTCCAGCCGTGCCGCCGCGGGAAGCCTCGATCCGCAGCCTGACGCAGCGGGCGTACCACACCCAGGGCCGTCACAAGACTCTAGACCCGGCCAAGCAGCAGGCCCTGACGCTGGGTCACTCCGGCCTGGGCAGCCTGGGCGCCAGCTCCAGCACCTCCACCTTGCCCCAGAGGACTCTCACCATGCCCAGCTCCAACAACGCAGCGACAGCCTCCACGTCCAGCACGAGCAGCAACCCCACCAACAGCAACAAGGTGGGCGGCTCCAGAGACTCGCTGCTCGAGAGCAGCTCCTCGGCCCTGGGGAGGCTGCAGAAGCAGAGCGTGGGGGCCTACTCCAAGTCCTACACGCTGGTGTAGTCCGGTCCGCTGCACAGACTCGCACCGCTGCCCCCCGCTCTGCAGCCAGCATCACTCTGGCACTCACAAGTCTGGGCCACAACAGGCTCGCGGGCATCTTTCTGAAAGCCGAGCTCGTGGCGAGCCGCCCGGCTTCCTGTCTACTTTTTCCTTCAAGGGGGGCGGAGGCGTTGGAGGCGTCCCGCCCCGTCCAGACAGAGACCCAGCTAACCCTACTGTTCATGTTCAAATGGAACTAAATATACGAGAACTACTAACTCCAACTAACAGTTCCAGCCGGCTGGTGCTCAGCTCCACTCAGTTCCTGCAGGAGACACACAGCCACATGCAGAATGTGATTTCTGTGGTCATTTTTGCAAATATTGACTGTAACCAAAGAGCTGAAGGCTCTGAGTTCATGAAAACTATAATAGCCAGTATGAAGCTGTGCGACCATCCTGTTTTTTCTCACACACACACACACACACGCACACACACTCAAACACAATGTCCTTCATAGTTTTTGATTTGACTTATTTTGTTTGTTTTTTTTGGTCAGTTTGCAGGACTTCAGCTAAATCCCCTGTTTTCCCACGCTCTCTCTCACTCTCTTGGTGTCTCTCCCTAACAAGAATTGGCAGATTTCCCTTTTGTAATCGCGACTCCAAAAGGCAACGATTCAGATTCACCTCCACAAATCAGTATTCTCCACTCATCTCTCTGCAGCTGAACGGTGTCTCAACTCTTCAGTCCAGTCACTACAAACCCCGGTGAAGCAGCTGTAATTTCTCACCTTACAAATAGAGAATATTTGGTATTATAAAGAATTTTACATATATATTTCTATGTAGGTATATTATTGACGTCTAAGGGAAATGATGACAAAGTATAAACTGTATGCGCTACACTGATGTGATAGTTATACACAGCGGTTTAACGCTACCGGCAAATTTTAAGAAAGGAGACAATCGCTCAATCACTGAATTTAGAAGTAGAGAACATTTAAGAAAAGTTGGACTTAAGAAAGAAAATGTTTAGTATATATGTGAGATATTCTGTATGTTAGTGCGTGCTGGCCAGCTAAGGAAGAGTGACCCTCTCTCTGTTGTGGAGACGGGCTAGCAGAAAGCAGGGTGGGAAGATTACACCGTCCCTGGGCTGTGACGCCTTGGTTGTTTGTGTGGCTTTTTCTGGGGGGAGGAGGGAACAATCACAATACCAGGCCTTCAATGATGGCTTCTTATATAGCTTGTTTCTAGCCCGAGTGCTTGGTTTAAGTTGATATGGTAAGATTCAAAAGTTACAGTGTCTTGTAAAAGCTGTTATGCCTCTTTTCCACATCACAGCTGCTAACTTCAGTGTATTTTATTGGGATATTAATGTGACAAAGGAACATAAAGTAGAGTAAAATCAGTGGTGGGTGTGAAATAACGTGCGATTATCAATAGGTTTACATGAAACAAAAAAAAAATAAAATAAATGTATTTCAAGAGGGGTGCATTCTTTAGCAAGGCACTGTATGGTTGTTATCTCAGTGGATCCCCACAACACCTTTATGCAGCAGTTTGCTGCAAAGTGGTTGGAGACGACTTGGGTTGCTCTCTGGTTTTAAGGCCTGCGTTTGTGGCTACAAATCCTCCCAAGATGTAGTTATTTGCTTCTCAGCCAAATAAATAAGCTGAACTGAATGCCAGTCATAATGTGAATGAAGTATTAATAATATTAATGTCAAGAGATGTTATATGTCAGGGAATTCAGTTATGAGAATTATATGATGTTCACGGAATTGATATCTTTGTCGTCTTGTCTGAAGAGCTGTAAATGTCCCACTCTTCTTCATCTCCACCTCGTCCCTCCCCATAATCCTTTTCGCACTGTTGTACATGAACACAAGAACCTATGGGAAGGCCTTTTTGTCCCACGATAGTGTTTTGTGTTGACTATTTATTTACCCATTTGCTCTGTTTGTCTGTCTGCTTGCTTGTTTAGAGGAAAGGAGGGGGTTTTCGTTGGTCTGTTGATTTTGATTTTTCTTCTTCAGTTTTGTCAGAGGTTTAGGTTCCAGGGGTCCAACAGTACACGGCCTGTGTTACACACCAGTTCAGCCAAGTAAAATCAGGGACTTGTGGCTCTTTTGGTCATACAGACTACCATTGTATTGTGTATATACTGGACCGGAGCCGCGTTGTGAAACGGCATCGTTTCGGCTCTCGCCTTCGTTCCCCGCTGAGAAAATTTGACGCCCCCCTCCCCCTCCCCGCGACCCACACCGGACCCGTCATCGCTACCTTCGTCAGTGTTGTTTTTAAATTGAGTCTTGTACATAAAACACAGTTTTGTATGAAGAGCTATTTTCTTCAAAATAAATCAGGGGACGCATCAAGGTGGAAAGTCCCGCTTTCAAAATTGAAATAACAACAAATTGTTTTTTTTTGTTTGTTTGTTTTTTCTTAAGATGGACAAATACATTTTTCACCTCTTATGTTTTTGATACTACTAATTTGAAGAATTTTTAGTCTTTTTTTTTTTTAAAACAACGTATTTTGATGTTGTCATTTGTCCCATTTACTTTTTTTAATATCATTATTTTATATTTTGTTCGACCCTCGGAAAAGTCATTGCATGCTTGCTAAAAGGGAAAAATTGATGGAAAAATGTATGAAAAATTAAAAAAAAAAAAAAAACGTTGAAGATATCCCAAACATTTCTTTAAGTTGCTTGTTACAGCAATTGCTTGTGTTCAAAGGTACATTTTCTATGAAAAAGCAAAAACTAAAAAGATCATTCTAACACCTTGTGCAATAAAGCTATCTTTCATATGCCATGGCTTCTGTCATTTCCGACCGTTTTCTTTTTTTTAAATTATTTTTTGACTAAAACTGACCTAACGTTAGAAAGAGCCTGATGTTTCATGTTAGCAAAGATGGACGCCAGCCTCCAGAAAGGAAAGGACAGGTATGTGTATATAATACATATAAAATACAAATAAATATTTGGACAATTGTACCTGAAACCACCGCCAGCACTCTTCTGGCAAATTTCAGACCATTCTGTTTTTGTTCAGTAAAGTCACTGTTACATTATTCATACCACAGGAAAAAAATATATGAAAACGCTTTGCAGACAACATAAAGCACCTAATTTCATGTGGCTGTCGGGAGGCATTGATCAGAATGCACAAAGTTCCTTCAGTTCTCTTTAAGTTGCCCTTTATTAAAGGTATCCAGAAATAAGTTTACATCTGCTTATGTGGTTCTGAAACGGAGCAATACAGTCAGGTTTAAACTTTAACAATATGACTATTAAGCAAGCAAATTAATTATTTAAGCACTCAAACTACAGTCAAATCCATTTGGAAAAACTGTTGTCATCGCTCCAATTATACAAAGGAACTGACGGATGTATAACAGCTGAATCCACACCACCTCATAAATCAGAAAGTTCTGACCTTGTAAGCCAACATATTTCTAACAGACTGAAAGAGCAAAAAGCCAACCATGCAATTCAACAGTACTTGGTGGTAACTTCCTAGACATACTCTATTTGTAGCTGAGATTAATAAAACTATCGACAAAGTCCATTTTCTGCACCTTATGGCCTTAAAGCTGCTCTGCGTCCTGCCAGCGTCTTCTGAAGGCAGCTCTCTGATTGGCTGGGCAATTAGCTGCCAATTCAGTAAGTCGGAAGAGCTCAGTCGCCTTTCAAAGCAATAATTATTACCACGAAGGAAGAAAGGTCAGGTTTAGATGTTGGGAATCCAGAAATGTGTTGCATGCAGTTGCAAGCGCATCAGACAGTCTATCAGCCTGATTCAATTTCATAGGCTGCATAAATGTTGTCACATCACGCAATTGCCGGTTTGCTTTCTAATAACAGGGCGTCATCTGCGTCTGGTAACTGGCTGGTTTGACTGATGTCTGGTAACTGCTCTGTGTTGCGCCGCCGCTGGTGCCCTCTAGTGGCTGTACTAAACAAGACAGCTCCTTGAAGAGCGGATCATTTGCATCCTCATCATTGGGCGGTCACCAAATTGTCTGACAGCATTTAAGTATAACAGGCTCCATTATGTGGGGGGGAAAGCCCGATTTTTGATAAGATGCTTCTGGTACAAGACGTTCTCGCCTACCTGAATATTTGCACTGTAATTAGTTTCGCTATTTCCCACAAAGCTAGACGATTCAAGAGCATAAATTCGTAACGGCATGGTAATCTGCTAGATGGGACACGCCCAAATCTTCTTTTTTTTTCCTGCTCTTCATCTGAACGGCCACAAGGTGGCGCAGTGATTCTTTCAAAGCTATGACCGTCCAGAGAGGTTTCGGGATACTGTGACGAAAGGTGCTCTCCTAAAAGAGTGCAGTGGTTCATGACGGATATGCTGTGAATAATAGATGTTTCTTAGAGTTTCATACACCGGGGCGTTTATACTAAAGCTTCTGCTTAATAAGCTTTAGTATAAGCGCCTGTTGAGCCATTGTTCCTGCGTAAAATATGTCATGTGTTCATGTTGCTGAAGGTGTCTGCTTATAACTTTGAAGATAAAATGCACAGTGCGGTGGAAAAGTATTCGTACTACTTGAAAGTAATTTTGCTACCGCAAGCTAATGTCAGGCACATTTTTCTAAAGATGAAGTGAAGCTTATCTTTCTCTTTATCTGTGATTCAAATTTAATAAAACGTGATTCATTCTCCGAGGTTTGGTTCTGCTGCTTGGTCAGAAAGCAAATCAAATATAAATACACACTGCTGTTCCAACAAGTAGGATGCTTGGTACTCAAAGTTTCTTAGTGCTTTGAATAGCAAAATCAAAAGTCAGACTCTTGACTGGAAAATTGGATCAACAAAAAACATACACACATCCATACACATGCTGGGAGTTTTACAAGATTTAATTTATTAACTATTATACAGTTCACATAAGGCCTTCATATTCAAACGTTCTCGGTCAGACAAATTCCACCGTTTGCTCCTGGTGCACACAATACATGAACTTTTTCAGCTAAATCAATTCTTGTTCGCACACTTACTTCATGTTTTAAAAACAGAAAGAGGGCATTCATCCTCCTCCCTTCATGTGTGGTCTTATGTTTTTTTTTTTTTTAATTTCTTTTGTTTTGTTTTGTTTTTTTTTAATCATGCACTAATTTTAAGTGGCCTTTTAAACCATTCACAAAAATCGTAAAAAGGAACCTCCGATAATTGAAATACACACTAGAAATGTTTTCTACCATCAACTAAAGGGCGGCGTCCCTCCCTCCCCTTCCCCACAACGTACAAATAAACAACCATAACGGAGACGTGGTGTGCACCCACTCGTTGATCCTTCCAACGGCACATTTGGTCGGGTATTTTTTCCTCTCTCTCTCTCTTTATTTTTTTTTCTTTCCTTTTTTGCAGAAAGCCAAATAATGCAGCAATATTATTTATACACTCCCAGGTATCATATTGGTCTGAATGGTCGAAGCTTCAAGCTCAGAGCAGTCTGAGAAAAACACTTTTTTTTTCTTCTTCTTCTTCCTTGTTCCAGTCTGTTGAACACAAAAAATTACAATCCCCCCAACAGTACCAGTAAAACAGATGAGCCCAATGCAAACGCAACCAAAAGACAGTGCTACAATCCTCGCATTTCAAAGACAGCAGGCTACTTTCTTGTTAAAAGTTCATAAGGTTAAAGTTAGAGGGCCTTCATTTTGCAGAGCTGCCTCTGAAAACGGTGAGCAGACGCTCCCCGAAACGGGTCCCAACCGCAGCAGGGGTTTCGCTTCTCTCTGACCAGGTTCCGTCTCAGCAGAACCAGCAGTAACAGTAAAGATCCCAGACCCGGTTAAAGGTTCTTAATATGACGTGAATACAAGGAGCTGAGGGTCGACGGACAGCACGACAACGCGCCGAGCTACCTATCGCGTTTCAAGCATTTTGGTTTCCATGGACACCGGCTGACGACGATGAGGATGATGATGATGCGACTAGGTTACACATTCAACTTGGCAACAGTTCTCCTTCGACTGATGTCTGATAAAAAAAAGAAACAAAAGAAGCCCCTAAACATCCGCTCGGATCAACAAACAGCTAGAAGATGAGAAGAATTTCTTTTTCCTTATTTTCCCCACATGTCTGGATGAATGAGGAACATTAAACAGATTCAGACTTTCCATCACAACCCAAAACAGGGGGGACAACTGGATCTAATTAGAAGACTAACTTTTTTTTTTTTTTTTTTTTTTTTTGCTTGCTTGCTTTTTTTCTCTACAAAAAGATCCTGCACTCGTGCCACATTCAGCCACTAAAAACAAACAATGTGGATAATTAACCTATGTGGCATTTCTTCATATTTAACACTACACTATCAAAAAGTGCTTCAGATAGGTCTGAGGGTTAAAAAAAAAAAAAAAAACATGATGTAAACAAAGTTTGATCTGCCAGAGCTCAGTTGAGGCAATGGTACATATGGCTGTTTGAGCTGAGAAATTAAAACAGAAACAAGCAAAGAAAAACAGTGATCATTAAAGTGCATCCCTGGATATGATACCCCACCCTCTTTCCTTTCCCACCATGCTGAGCCCCTCAAATAGAACAACATGAGAAATGCTTAAAAAAAATAATTAAAAAAAGGGCAGGCGATAATCTTCTGCTTCTATGGAGCAAACTGCTGCCCTGCGGACCTACAGGGGGGCTGGTCCATAAATCCAGTGGTGGTACTTTAAGAAAAATTAATATCACACATAAAAAAAAAGAAAATCATTCAGTCCAGCTTGGGTTGGAGGTTTCTCGGTAGTGTAGCCTTGCAGCGTCCTCCGCCTCACTGATAATGGAAGCATGCCACATTTCACACAACTATGACCACGATCACTTCCTGCCCCCCCCCACCCCTCACCTCCCCACCCACTCCTACATAACCTAGGATTGTCCACGTTTGAGATTTAGCTTTGTTCTCATGTCTGAATGCGTTTTGTGTGTATCGGTGACAAGGTCCAGCATCATCATGGGGCACACGCGGTGTCATCGTCTCTCACAGTGTCTCTTGTTCAGCAGGAGGGTGGTGGGCGTGGGGGTGCTGGTGGAGCGGCGGCAGCAGGGACTGAAGGGGCGACTGTGGCGTGGTGGGCGGAGACTGCTGCAGGGGGCTGAAGTGCGCGGCGGTGTGGGGAGGCGAGGAGCGGTAGCAGGAGTAGGCGGAGCTCCCGCCCAGGGTGGTGGTGGGCGAGGCGGGGAGGCCCCCGAGCCCCGTCGGGGAGTCGATCAGCGGCTGGTTGTAGTAGAAGAAAGCACACTGGTGGATGAAGGTCTCGATGATTGTCTGGTAGGTGCGCGTGGCAGTTAGGGCGTCCATCGTGGTGAAGTCGGGCCTCATGAGGGTGGGCCAGAAGCAGATGGACAGGTTCTCGCTGGTCATCAGGTTGACTCTGCTCAGCTGGCTCACCCTGGGAACAAACACACATCATCTACAGCAACACACAAAAAAGCAACCAATACTTATACTAATACTAATACCAATAGTTTTCACATTTTGTAGCGTTACGACTGCAAAGGTCTTTTAAGGCATTTTATGCGACAGACAAACATGAAGAAGGGCGTGAGCATAATGTGGAAACAAAAGGATGCAAACCCACCTTCTGCTGCAATGACAGCGGCATATCGTTTGAGATTCTGACTTACAATGAATGAAAGTTTTCCACGTGACAAAATGTGGAAAACGTTCAAGGACTTACACGGTCAAAACAAACGCAAACCAGTCCATCGGCTAAACCGGGACTGAAATCAGAAAGCTTACCTGTTCAAGTGGCTCACTACATATCTGAAGACGTCATAGTTCTCCTTGGGGAACTTCCTCAGGACGTCCTTCATGGCATACAGCCTCTGCTCTCGGTCCATGATTTCTGCACAAACACAGAGTTCTCTCAGCTGAACTCTGTCACTAGCTCGTCGGGACAACGTTCCTCCCCAAATACCGCAAACACACAAAACAATAGCAAGACCAGATGAGCTCCCATCCCTCCTAAGGAAATAATCGTTTTATGTTTTGTGCGAGGACCCTCCCAGCCCAGCAGTGTTTGCTTACTGAAAGCGTCCAATAGCTCCACCTGCAGAGCACAAGGCACCAGGGGCTCAGGCAGCTCTGAGAAGAAGCTTTTGAGAGCTCCAGCCACAGTGTTTATGGCGAAGTCTTTCTCCACCAGGTCTAATCCGTGGTCTGAAGGGGAAATGACAACAAAGGTAGAAGGGATCAGATGAGAAAGCCAGAGCGCCGGTTTCAGTCATCACCAGCAGCAGCCTGTCACTTTCCTTTTGACAGCCCTACGTTTATGTTTTCAGAGTCAGATAAATTACACATGAGCAACTCACCTTGTTCAAACTGCTTCTGCATGCTCTCCATCTCGGACTTGTTGCCACTCACACGGTACAACCCCTCTGTGTTCAGGCCTGGGAAGACGAAGCAAGCAGAGAAAGAAAGGTGTGTGTGTGTATGTTGAGGGAGGCATAGTAGCAAAAAAGGAAAAGCACAAAAGGTTCATCGGCATTTCTGCAAACCGGCATGACTATACAGACGCTTTCCAAAAGCACCAAACAAATCACGTGATCAGGTTACAAAGCCCTGAAAAAGAAAAAAGCATGTTTTGATTGTTTGGAGCTCTCCAGTTGTCTTCATGGACTAAACAAGGCTCCAAAGAAAGAGCAAAACTGAGCTTTCATATCACTTTGTTTCAGCTTTTGCCTCTGCGACTTTCTCCAGGTTCTCAGTAGCAAACCTTTGGAAGCGCTCGCCGGCATCGACGCGTAATGTAACCTGAGCAGCATAATCTCTGATTCTTTATCGCAAATTGCTACGTCTCAGGCCTTTAGTTTGACTTTGTGCGAGTTCCACATATAGAGAAAATCTGTCGTCAGCAGATGTCAACTCAGCTCGAAGGCTGAGGGGAAAAACAACAACAAAAAATACAAATCTTACGAGGAAAGCATTCAGAGACATGAGCCTTTCTGTTGACTGGGACCTCCGATGGATTTTACGAGGCCGGTCCATTTGTTTTGTTGTGAATTGGCGCAATATGAATAAACTGAATGTAACCTTTAACCTAATTATCAAAACTGCAAACTATGGTAAAAGGACCACTAGTGGTAATTTTACTGATTGTAATGATAAAAAAAAAACATCTTTGTATCAGAGAATTGGCTGTAAACTGGAGCAAATTAGCCCAAATAAAGAGAAATGAGTGGTTGAAGCGAATTGTTCCCCAGAGAAATTACTCAGAGAGGAAGTGAAGTAGAGAAAATGTATTGTTTAATATTGTATAAAAATCCAATAAGTCTAAACATTAAATTAAACCTAACCAAGTTTTAGATGCGTGTGAGAAGCTGTGCTGCTGGAAGTGCAAAGACACTGGATCTTGAGCTTATGTTGGTGATAAATCTATCTGACCAATTTTTATTTTATTTCTTCAAGTATGCAGTGCAGCTGGGTCAAAATGTGATTTTTGGATATTCAGTCTTTTATCTCAGTTTTAATAAACTGAGATATTTATTCTTTTATCTCCGTTTCAATGAACTGAGATAAAAGAACAGATTTTATGAATTCTACATTTTTTTTTTTACATATCTTCACCAGATGCAGCCCATATTATGTGCACTAAGGCAGTATGTTTTCAAAAGAAGAATACAAACACACTGACTCATACACAAATGACTGGGTGTTATTGTGTTTGTCTGGTCAGTGCCTTTAGTGGAAGCAACACTTCAAGCTTATCTGGCAGTCTTCAGCTAGCGGAGATATGGACAGCGCAATCTGGAGCATTTCTGCTGATTCCAGCCGATTTACGAATGAGTCAGCACTGACCTTAACTGAGCATAATATTTGCTTTAAAGCAATTGTTAGATGAGCATCGGCTGCCTCGGCATCCGGTTAGAAACAAAGGATCAATGTAAAGTAAACATATATTGTGTTCTACTGGCCAGTAAATGATAAGAAGAAATACATATTAAAGATAATGATCATGAAAAGATAACTGAAGCATTCTTGTTTACCAAATCACTCCTACAAATTAATACATTTTCAGTTTTCCCTTTTCAAATATTAAACTGTTCATTATGACTAATTATTTTCTCTAGTCTTTCAAAAAGCACTTAAGTCTTTATTAACGCACAGAAACACTTTCATTTTTATAAGTGGCGTAGGCTGAATGATAGGATTATTAAAGTAGAAATTCTCATTTTGCTCTTTAATTATTTAAAGCCCCAAACTCGGGAAGCTGAGCCCTGAGTGTCGATCGGTCCAAATCTGTAAGAAATAAACTTTATGTACTTTTGAAGTCCAGCTTGCTCGAACCTAAATGAACATTTAGGTCTGTAATCTTCTCAGTGCACCAAAGGAACTCACCTGTTTTCTCAATGAAGTGGACGCACTTCTCTATGAAAAGTGGAATTGGTCTGTCTGGGGAGACCACACTGGCTAGTGGCACTCCAAAGTAACAGCTCTCCATGGGCTTGGGAATCGATGGACGCGGCTTTGGTCTTGTTTTCTGCCAGAAATGAAAACAGGATTTTTGATTAGTTTAAAATATTCATCAAAGCCAGGTTTCCCCTCACAGTGGCTGCTAATTCTCAAGGCTTGTGGATCCATCTCACTGGGTTATACCTCTGTGCTGGAATTACTTCTGTACTCCATAGGCTGAAACAAAATAGTCCTTAATGATAATATTTAACATTTGGACAAAAACTACTGTAATTTCTCTAAGATTGAGAATAGAAAAGGTTGTAATAATACAAACCTTGGCTGTTCTCCTGAGGCTCTTCAGAATGTTCCTCTTCTTTGGGTCCTCAATCTCCTCATTAACAAGACTGTCGCCTTTCAAAGTCCCAAAGTCGTCATCTTTGGACTTTGACAGAGCTCCCATTTCATCGTCGCTGCCTATAAAGCTTGTACGGAAACTGCTAAACTTGCCCAGACGCTTCGAGCGGTCGCGGTACAGTCGGGGCTTCACTCCGATCGCTGAGAACTTCCTCCTTCGCTCCAAAGAGCTGCTGTCTGCCTCGCTGTCTGAGCCATTTCCATTTGAATGCATCCTGTTGGAGTTGCGGATGGTAATGATTTTGCCCTGGGTGCTGTCATGTGGGACTGAGTAGATGATTTCTTCGTTGCTAGGGCGGGGCTTTGAGACGGCATCAATGGGTTCGGCGTAGTCTGAGGGGTCGTAACCCACATCTCCACCAGGTACCCAGGTAACAGCAGAGGGCAAGGACCGACGATGACCTAGGGTGTCTATGTAGGGACTACGGCTAACCTTCCGGAAGTCAAAAGTGACACCTGGTTTTACCCTCACTTGGGGGGGTATTTTGTTGTTGAGCTTATTTTCAAAGTCTCTGATATCAGATATGACAGAGATGTCACTGGAGTCCAAGTCAGGCATGTTGAAGCCGCCGCCGTGAGAGGAGAGAGTGCCGTCGTAATACGGTGGAGAAGGCTCTACGTCATCCTCCGAATCCACAAACATGGTCACGGGACTGGGAGAGATGCAGCGTGGGGAGTATACATTTTCAACGGTGCACGCTTCTGCAACGTTGTCATACATATGCGTGGCCTCCACAATGTTGCGCTTCTCTACCACCTCCATCAGAAATGAATGGAACATTTCTATTCTGTGCAGGCCTCCCACCACTCCCCCAGATCCACAAACCACACTATTGAAACGACCCTCGATCTCATGGGCCAGCTCCTCCCCCTGAATCAGCTGTTCACAGGCAAAGTCGCTGTCGGTGAGCTCAGCCTGACTATCTCCTACTGCCAACAGCTGAACGGGGATAATGTCCTGAACCTCACATAAGAATGCACACAGGGTCTCCAGGGAAGCTTTCCGGGTGACTGAGTACACAGCAATATAGCCGTGCACTAACCTGCTCTTCCTTAAAGTGAACGAGGCATGATATGAGAGGAGAGAAAGCTCTATGGCCAGCTTGTGCCCCCCAATGGTCTGCTCTAACAACACAGAAGTGCCACTATTCGACATAGGTCTGCAATGCTGATGCATCAGGAAAGGAGACAGGAGCTGTTCAATGTCATAGGGGTCTCCACACATTAAGCACATGACAATGCGTAGGTCTGCCTCTTGGGCTGGCTGATGTGGAGAGTCTCGGAGGCCGGGAGGCTCAGGGAGGAGAGGCGGGGAGCTGCTACTAAAAGATGTGCTCCTTCGAACATCAAGAAGGCCTCTCAGCACCTGATTGATCTGAGTCTCACTTACATTGTGCCCATAGCCCACACCGGGGGAGGCTGGGTCTAAAAAGCTACACTGTAGTCTCCTTGCAACTTGTTGTCCCTGTGTTATTAGGTTTAAGGCAGTGTCTCCACCTATATCAACATATGAGCCCACTCCTCTTTTAGTGACTAAAAGAAGGGATGTTGGCAGTTGAGCCAGCTGGCTATCCCTTCGACCTAGAGTTGATTCCCTAAGTCGCTCAAGACTTTCTACCACATAAGACAGAGAATCTTTTGAGTTATACAGACAAAGACATCCATGAGGGGTAAATGTGGGGGTGTGGAAGGAGTTTACTGGAAGACGAACGTTCCCCTCAATGGGCCGCAGTGTCAACTCATACATCTTCCCATCTAAAACATACCAGTCATCATTTGTGCACAGAGCTCTAATCTCATTGGCAAATTCTCTGGCCAACCCATCCTTACCTAGGATGACCAAATTAATTCTATCAGCTTTGGTGTCCCCAAAATGAGCTTTCACATCAAAGAAGGGGTAACAGGTGGGAAAACGAGATGCTAGGAGTTGCTCAATCTTAGAGTCTCCACAGTGAGGGCTACTGGGGCATGTTTCCTTGGTGGGGTGATAGACAAAGTGAATATGCTTCAGCACAAGGGCATCTCTTTCAGCAGGAAGCTTTTGCAGCGCCTTAAACCTCTGCTCCTCTCCCAGAACCTCCTGAATTGCTCCCATCTTTTCTTTGCTAGGCTTGGCATCCACTTCAAGCTCATAAAAAAGCTCAGAGTATTCAAGCAGAAGCTCCTGGAAGTCTTCTTTAGCACGGTCAATAATCTCCTTTTGATGGCGGTTGTACAGGTCCAAGTACTCCGGCTCCTCGAGCCACTGATAAAACTCCTCATTCATGATGAAGCTGCGGGCCTCCTCCCATGGTTTACCAGGGGTAACAAAGGGAGAGGATGCTAACTTTTGCTTAAACTCCTGTCTTATTTCTGCACGTCTACATTCATTTCTTAGATGTTCCAGATGGGCATTGAATATATCTTCTGCTTCAGCAGTCTCCAGAAGATCAGAGGGGATTCGCTCATCCTCCATGTTGTCTATGTGAGATGTATCTTCCCATGGAGAATCCTCCAGAACCACAAACCAGTGAGTAAAGTGCTGCTTGGACTCAAGCACTTTCTGCACTCCAGACCAGCTCAGCTGATCTATTTCATCGAGATCCGGCACCAGTGAACTAAGTGCTAAAGGGAGAGTGCTAAGATATATCCTGCGACGCCTCTCGATGTGCTCCTGCTTCAGGCGGTAGACGTGCTGTTGAAAAAGCTTTTTGCATTTAGCTGTTCCTTCCAAGAAAACATATTCTTTGTACTCTGGTGAGTTGTTCATTCGTCGACTGGCATTTAACCAAGTTTCATTATGATTCTTGACGATACGGTTAATGAGCCACTCGTAGCGATCCTTGGCTGAGGCTATCTGCTGACTCTGGAGTTTCAGGGCTTCAAAATAAGGTATGATCTTGGGCTTGCCCCTGCCCTTATCAATAAGCTGAACCAACGTGAGGAAGGCTAGATCCACATTAATATTTGAGCGAGCAGAAGTCTCGACTACTGGGAGGCTTTTCTTTGTGATCGCAAAGGTATGCGCATCTTTGATGTAGCGCTCAACACCTTCGTCACATTTGGTCAGCACCAGCACGATGGGCTTCTTGGTCTTGCTGAGCTGGCCATAAAGGTTTGTGACGAATTTCAGCTGGTCATCAAAGTTACGGTTCATGCCGCGGCTCACATCAACACAAAGCAGGAAGCCATCAACCTGCAGTTTCCCTTCTGGCATTTGCTTTTGCTCAAAGTCTTGCTCCAAACCCAGCTGATCTGTGCAGAAGTACATGAGTTTCTCTGCCGAGGCCAACTTGGTCGCAGCCGCTCGTTTGATATAGGGCTGCATAGCAGTGCTACGGTGTGGCTGAAATGTCTGGTCATCTATGAATTCGGTTTGCTCCACAACATGCATCCTGCACTCAGGGCCCTCCTCCAGGACCCGAGACACCTCCCCCCAAAATAGAAAGTGGTCATTGTTAACCACACGACCCCCAAAGTCACTGGTGCTTAAAACTGATGTGTGGTCCAGGTAGAAATCGTCAGCACTGGGTCGCACAAACCGATTGCACAGGCAGGATTTGCCCACCCCACATTGCCCCTTCTCCTTCTCTGTTCCAGACAAACCCACCACAATGAGGTTGTAAATGGGCGATCGTGCATCTTGCTTTTTCGCCATCATAGCCTTTCGAAACTCATCCTGCCACAAACAGGCACTGAATAAAAGAGATCACTAATATGCTCGTCCGTCTACTGCTGATCCACCGAACAGATCAGATTGCTCCTTCTTCTGCTGGGCGTCAGTTATAATAAATAACAGTGCAGTGATAAGAGCAGCAGGTCCTTTCATTCATTCCTTATAAGAGTCACATCCTGTCAAAACAAACAAAAAGAAAGGAAGTCAGACAAAAAGAGCATTTGTTAATCAAGAAAATGTACAAAAAAAAAGAAACTGAACACATTTGGAAATAATGAAATTACCAGTAACTTTAAATTTTAAAAAACTTATATATCCAATAGCAACATGCTTCTAAATGCTGTGCTATGTGTACCTCTAAAACAAGAATTATAATTTAACACCAAGCTGACCTTTTTTTGCACACCATCCTTATTGTTTCAGCGACAAAATAGTCTCTTTTGCTCATCAATATTAAAATATCAATTATTTACCAAAGTGTGACATTGTGCAAGCAAAAATTACATCAATTAGTTGCGCACTGTGTGAAATTATTCTGTTGGCTTTCTTACTGTACAGCTCCAAGATTTTTTTTTTCTTTAGTAAAGCCCTATTGTATTTCTTTGGCATCATCATTCATTACAAGCCAAACCTACTGAGGGGAGTGTTACAGAAACATTAATGCCAGCCATTATAATATCTGCTGGCAGAAGCCATTGATTTTTCTCACACTGTGGTAGCAGCCAAACCTGAAAAACACAGGTTTACGCAAATTTCCATGAAAAAGGGAAGCTTATTTATTATCAATTGCAGCGATGCAGCGACAACAATGCAGGATGACGGACTAGTTTGACATGTTTTCTTTGTTGTGAGGACATATTCTATTTTGCAATGACTTTTTGCTGGAACTCTGCATATGACTGGCCCTAATGTCAGTTTTTGAATAAACCTGCTGAAAATTTGACTAAAAAACCGAGCTTTAGCCAGAGTAACACTTTCACTGGTGACAAATTAAAAGATATCGGACCAGGTCTTTGCATTTTACCAGGGATAATTTTATACTGTAACCAGCAAAATTACACAGATTACTCTCAGCATTGCTCAGCTGATCTAAAAAGAAAACAAAAAAAGACAGGGACTGAGATCCAAAATCTAAGAACAAGCATGTTGGGAGTGGCTCTTCAAGTGATGTATCAGCTGATCAGTGAGTTTAGTGACATGCATATAAATGACTGTGCTGTCGACACGCTGTTCTCTACTTGTTTTTAAGCCAGACAAATAGTGCCACTACAAAAGGGGGAAAATGACCAGATTTACATTCGTGATATTGTTTATCAATAGGAATTTTCAAACTTTGATTCATTGGAACATAAATGTTAACTTAAATGCCTTCAAGCCCAACCGTCTATCCTCCCATCCCCCAACTATCTTCTTATGTCAACAGCATAATCAAACCACATAAGGTAGCAAAATGTTTAATATATATATGTGTGAGTGTGTGTGTGTATTTATATAAATTTGAAATAAACTAAACTCTCAAATTATAGAAGTTTCCCATGTTTAGGTTAAAAGTCAGAAAGTTGAGGTATTTCAGAAATTATTCATGCTAAATATTCCTGAGGGGAAATGGGTGAAAATCTTCCAAAATAAATCTGCTGGGTTTTGATTTATATGCATCTAAAAAACATGTTTAAGCTTTTGTTTTTGGATATTAACTTCAATCCCCACCATAGTTTCACCTTCTAAACTCAAAAATATGTTATGGTTTTCAATGTTGGTTGTCCAACCATTGCAAAACATATATTTGCAACATATGCAACTATTTAGCTGCACAAATAAAGAAAGGTGCTCTTCAAGGATCAGTATTTGAGGCATTTCTTTTTAAAAAATAATTTATATAAACAATCGAGGGATAACTGTAAATATATATATATATATATATATATATATATATATATATATATCCAGTTATAGTTCACTTTTAAACAGATGAAACAATCATCAGTCATCATCAGCAGTAAACTCCATTTTACCTGTTCTACCAAGTCAAAGCTTTTTTTTGAATGAGTTAAATATTTAACACTAAAAAGACTATAAATATAATCTTCACATGCTCCTCCTCAAACCTACTAACTAATAAAAGCCACTAGAAAAATAATTTCCCCCAAAAACATTCAAACACAAGTACAACAAAGCAAAAGATGCCATAAACTTTCTCACCCCATCTATTTTTAAAGCACAGATAACTGCTTCTATATTAGTACTGATGCAATGCCATTATGATGGCCACTTCATAAGGTAAAACTAATAATACGAAGTGACCTTGGCTACTTCGACATTACCCAAGCAGTTATATTTAAAATACCAACAAAAAAAAAGAGGTGACACAATTTGCCCTTTCTTTAAAGGCAAAGTCCAGCAGGGTCAAAAACAAATGTGGGCAGCTGAGCTAGGCCTGATGCCCGAATAAACAGATATTTAAAAAAAAAAAAAAAAAAACTGACCCCTTCTGAGCAGTGATCTGGAGCGCAAATTCAGCTCGCAGGGTTGTATAACCCGCTTACAGAGACAAGTTCTGTGTTCCGCTAAGGATTACCAGTGAACATTGGCTTCAGGGTGCTCAGAGGGGCTGACCACGCCAGGCCTGCTGCCTAATGCAACTGCAGCGCCGGGGCTGTGGACTGACCTGCCCTGCTGCACGCCGACACACAGCGATTAAAGGGAACCCACTTCCACCCAGTTCGTCTTGGGTGTGAGCACTCGTCAGCTTCTCCGGGTCAGCCAATAAAGAAGCCGATCGGGCATACATACCATCGCGTTTCTCCCCTTTTCTCCTCTCGCATCTGTCAGGCCAGTGCTTGCCGCAGCCCTCGCCGCCGCCTGATGTGCATAAGCAAAAGCCGCAGAATAAACGCCAGGAACTGCTCCCAAATAACACTGATATCACAACGCTGCGTATGGCGTGGTCAGTGGAAATGAATCCCTATCACACATTGTCTGGATTCTCGCCCCCTTCTTTCTTTTTTTTTTTTTTTTTTTTTTTTGCAACAATGTTTTTTTTATATATACATTTTTTTTATTGTTGCATTTAAACGCCGGGAAGAAATAAATATGTCCAGGATTATTCTTGCAAAAGGGAGGTTTCCGCCTGCGAAATTCGGGCGTGTAAAACAAAAAAGGAAAGAAAAAAAAAAAAAGAAAGTCTGCTCCAGACGTCTTCCTCTCGGTTCACCACGTTGCTTTTTCAATCATTATTCTGTCCATTGTTGTGGCCACATAATAACGCTGGGCCGGTGTCGCACACCAGACAACAGTGAGTTTGTTGTAATCGCCCTGGTGTCTCCTTTGAAATGTGCTCCTGCTGCAACACGAATCCTTCATGTCCTGGGCGATTTTAGGAGCCGATCGCGAGTGTGAAAGTGGAATTTCTCTCAGCTTTCCGATAATGGCGGCGGCGGCGGCCCTCCTCCTCCCCGGACCTAGATCTCCTCTTCTTTTCTTTGGGAAAAGGGAGCAGTGGAGACCGAAGCAGCCGAGAGAGGGACTCAGTCTCACCCAGCGGCGCCCTCACACAACTGCAGCAGGTCGGCTTTCTGTTGCTCTAACTCTCCACCACGCCGATGCCTTTGCACCGTTTCTGACCCAAACGCAATCGATTAGTCAATATTGTTCAATGCAAAGCTTGTATTGGACGTTATTTTTGTCCAATTCGAGTGCATATTATTAAAACAATTTGAATATGTTCCTTTCTGTTGGAGTAAAGCTGAACATTTTTTTGCACCACTATGCCCCGTTGTTTTTTTGTTTTTTTGTTGTTGTTTTTTTGTAGAAAATTGACACAAAAGAAAGATAACTGTTTAAAATAAATGCGTGTACTTGCCCGATGCTGGCTTCCAACAGTTAAATGTACATTTAAAAAGTACTCATAATCCTTTAACTTCATTACATTTTGTCACATTACCACTGATCTTCATTTATTTTATTATTTGATGCAACAGTAGCACCTATTACTTATGTAAAAATCTGAAAAGTGCATTTTCATTTCTTTTAAGAAATACACAAGTTTTCCTTTGACACCAAAGGTAATTATCGAGTCATTCAAACCTTCCACAAAGCACAGGAGTTTGAATACTGATACATTTACAAGGCTCAATATTCACCTGGAACTTAGCAGCAACAGCAAATTTAGCAAATACATTATATAGTAATACAAGTAGTCTGTGCATAACACATTGATGTGTGGCATTAAACATAATTATGTACTCTAAAATGTATAAATAAAGTTAAAATAAATACTATCAGGTACTAAATTTTGAAAATGTAAACCAGAGGACTGAGCATTACAGAACCTTAATTCATCCTGAGCTTTTAAGAAGTGTCAAATTTGAATTAGCCAATCGTGATGTACTTCACACCATACACCTGGTACGTTTCTTGACATTTTTTAATGATCAATCGGTTTTAAGGCGGCACTTAAGGAGATTAGAATTAATAAAGTGCAAGAGCAGCATCAGACAGGCAATTATTATTGTTAGGGGGCTGGATGCTGTCATCAGTTTGGAGAAGCAAGGCCCTGATTAGTTTGACAGGTCATTAAAGGGCCAACACAGACAAATTCTGTCCAGTAGCATCAAATAATATGTAAAATGGAAAAGCCTGCACAGACCTTTCTTTACTTTTTGTTTGAGTTAGAGAAATGTATTAATTAAGCTGCTCTTATTTGTAAGAAATCTTGTTCATAGCCCCATAGCAACACTTTGAAATGGTCTCAGTCTTGCTTTGGGAGGCACCATAACTTATTTGAGTTAGAATTAAAACTATTAAACTAACAAACCATAGAGCAGTAACAACTTCAGGCATTAAATACTTTAAATGTAGGTCGATACTCTACACACTACTTTGCAATTTCTTTCATTTTTACAAAATTTACTTTTGCAATTAGAAATTTGAGCTTGCAAACATGCGTCAAACTCAAGGCTCGGGGGCCAAATCTGGCCTGCTGTAGCTTTATATGTGGCCCCCCCAGACATCAATAAGTCCCACTAGTTTTCCACAGATCTGTGAAATTCACACAAAATCAACAAATCTCCACATTTGTTCTGATTTTACTGTAATTTTTTTCTCAAAATTGGCCAAAAACATTGAGTCTAAGTGACTGCTGCCTCAGCTTGACTTGATGTCAAGTTATAGTGCGTGGTCGATTCGGCGAGTAATAAAAAGTCACAGTTAGCATCATATTATTAGCACAAATATTGTACAAATTCCTTACAAATATTTCTAAGTTGCTTTTGATATGACACTTAAAAGTTTTCATTTTAGTATATTTTCTGTTTAAAATGTTTATCTTTACTATTTTCCTGTAGAGCATTTTGAATTACCTCGCGTAAGAACGGTGCAATGGTTGTTGCCTATGTATCAACATTTCTAAATGATGGAAAAGTGGGTCTCTAATATTTTGTAAATAACTGTAAATTAATCTTTATTGTTTGCTGAGGGGGATACGTGTTGCACAACCAAAGCAGTTTGGGTTAACTTATTTCTAAGGTAACAGAAAGACAACGGAGTCTCGTCGATTTTCAAACAATCCGGGGTAATAAAGGAAAGAGAAACCAAAAGAGAAAGAAAAAAAGAAACTAATGAAAGCCACCTCTATAAAGAAGAGCACTGTTGAAAGGGCAATTCCCTGCAGTTCCCTTTAGTCTAATAAATATTCATCAGCTGTCGACCATACTCCACTGCTCTTCCACCTTTGATGGGGCTGCTGCCGAACTGGATCAGCCAGACGGACAAATGCTTGGATCTGATTGGAGGAGAGGCTCTGTGCAGACCGCTGAGCTGATCCAATCTAACATCAGCCATTAAATAGATCAGTCATCAACATCATATCTGATTACTGTTACCTTCACTGTTGCTGCCTCCTGGTGGATTTACAATCCAGCTCACATCGCCTTTTAACTAAGGATTTTATAAGATCAATTTTTTTTTTTTTTTAGATTTGATACACTGCATGTTTCTTTTCGTGCACCTTTTTTTATGCTGTGTTTTGTTATTCTGTTTGTGTTCAGAGATTTCTGACAGGTAGTGCAGGTGGGGTGAATTGTACATTCTCCAGGCTTCAGGCTTTGCGGTAGAAGTTACCAAAGCCGAGGCAAGCTCCGGACGGCTGCGGACAACCCGGAGCATTTAGGGGAAAAAACCAGGTAGGTACTGTTGCATGAGTTGCATAATTATGTGTCAGATATGTTTTAGCCTTAAAGTGTAATTTGATGCACTTGCTCAAAAAACAAACAAAAAAAAAACAGTTTTACTGCATATAAATGAAAACCTTGGTTTTCAATGTTTAGGATAGCTTTTTTTGTTTGTTTGTTTTTTTGGGGGAAGCCAAAAATAACGTGAAGTCTTTCCTTCAATAAAAATAAAAAAAACCCAGATAGGAATCATTCCATGTAGTTGATATTACATCCACTAGGCAGAGCCATGAGGCTGAATACAACACAGACAGCAACAGCAGCACATACTGTTTTTCCTGGCATGTTTATATCATTTGATTTATCTCAGTATTTTTCTTTTCTTGCTTATCATAAAGGAAAAATTGACTCATGTCGTCTATATTTTTATGATTGTCTTATATTTACCTCATAAAACAAGTTTCTGTGGCTTCATGGCTCTACGGGGGTTTGTTTTACACTTCAGTCGATGTATAAAGGAGCCTCTATGTAACAGGGATCTGGGGGATGAGAGGCAGTAAAGGTTAGAAAGGGGTGAAAGGGACAACAGATGGGCGCTGAAGGAGTTCTGCACAGGGAGACAATGGGTGGGAAAAGTCTTTTATACCATGCGAATAATAAACATTTACTGCTGGTAAGGTACAATGTCTGAGCATCTTTCATATATTCTTGTTTTTTTCCTCCACAGTACAGCTTCACGATTGGCTCATAAATGGCAAACAATGTTCAGGAGAAGGGGCGGGGGGGAACACAAACTGAAATATTTGGCTTGGTAAAGTGTATCTGGATTGCAGCTGGAAACTAATGAGGCAGAGTTTAAACTGAGACACAAGGATGGGGAAACACTTCACTACCAGAAGCCATCTTAGACAGATGATTAGTCTGAATATGAAAATATGAAAAAGTGAGATTAAAACAAATGAGATTATGCAAAAAATATATTGAAAAGAAGGAAGTTTATGCCAAGAAAGCTTTGCTGGGATCTTTGGATTACTTCCTGAGTCAGATGTTCAGAATTAGTTGTGAAGTTTATAATGAGATTATCTTAAATTGAAATCAGACAGAGAGGCATACCAAGGATCTGTTGACAGTTTTAATAACATGATGCGTGTATCTGAAACCGATCTGGATAAAAAGTAGGTAAATAAGACCTCCACGAACCTTTCTGCCTTTTAATGACTGTTTTTTTTTGTTTTGTTTTGTTTTTTTTTACAAAATGTTGAGAGGCACAAAGTGCAGATGTGTATATGAATGAGGTATTTCTCTTTAAGGAAGATCGTGAACATCAGGAAGCATGAAGGAAGGAAATTCTTCTCACAGGAACAGCTAAACAAAGATCGGAACAGTGATCGAAAACAACCCGGCAAGACAATAACACGTCTAAGGTGAGAAGGACTGACCTTCCAGTGAGACGTTTTATTTTAATGAGCAAAGATATTTTTACAGGTAAAATGTCTGGAAAACCAGTAAGAAATGCTGCTGTGTTGACAGGCTGGGACGAAGAGACACATGTTCGACTTCCACGTAGAGTGATGGTTCTGCCCAAAAAACTACTAAACAAACAAAACACTGGCCTGAGAAAGGAGGAAAACCTTATTATCATAAACATTAAGAATTAAAAGAGTTTTGATGGTTTGATGCTGTATTGATGCTTTGCATAGAAGGTTCTAGAGCAGTACAGGACGACAGAAAGAAAACCAGATATATGGTTACGTGAAAAATAAGACAACCCCACAAACGCCCGAGTGTTTTTCCAAAGTTTTTGGACAAAAAAATAATTATTATTCATTTCAACAATATGAAAAAATCAAGCAACATAACCTGACAGAGATTAAGAAAACGACTAATAAAACTTATGAGTACGATTTTTTTTTTTGGTGAGAGATAACTTATGACACCCCGTATTTATTCCTGCCTTAAAAGTGCTTTGATCACACACGAACATATAATGTTTGCTGCACGGCATTCTTACTCAACATTTTGAAAAGAGTTTATGTTCTTTAAACCTCAGACATTTAGTCTGGTGAGTGAAGATTACAGCAGGCTGTAAAATTTAAAGAGGCCTCAAAACAGTTCGAAACTATCCATTTCGCTGGCTTCCATATAAATAACACAAAAGTAGCTTGAGGAGCAGCCAACGTTTTTGTTCCAGTGTTTCCAGTGGTCATGCCGCCCCAAAACCCATCCCACCCTGCGCAGTGAGCCATGTCGCCCAAATCAAACTCTGCTTTTCTGTTGTGTTTGGAGCTCATCTGCTGGTTACTTTGGTTAAATACCACCTGCTTGTTCAGCCTGTGTCACTAAGGCTGCAAATGTAGGACATAAAGCACTAAGGCTCTTCTAGAAACTTTTTTAAGGCTGGTTTCTTGGGTTTCAATCCCAAAATATTCCCAGTGAATACCTCAGCATAGTAAAGAATTAGTCTGCATTCAACCACCTCTGCCCAGGTTCGTCATCTGTCCAGCTTTATGTGTTTGTGGCAGTGAGAAAGCCACGGTTGAAGGAAGCTCATATCAAAGCTCATAAAAGACAATGAGACATCACGGCCAGGCGGAACGAATGTGAAGACATTTTGGCAACAACATCACATCATGCTGTGGAAACATTTCTTGGCAGCAAGTCCTGGAAGGCTTCGAAAGGTAAAATTTAAAATAAATACAGCAAAATATCAGGAAATCCTGGAGGACAATTAGTTTCCATCTGCAGGCGTCAGAGAACACTTATTTTCCAACGAGGCAGTGACCCAAACCATCGAACTTAAGCTGCAAAGAGACGGTTCAAAGACAACAAGGTGGATGTTCTGAAGTGGCCCAGTCAAAGCCCACACCTTAGTCACATAGAGAATTTGCTGTAGGCTTCAAAAGGGCTGTTCACAGCCAATCCCTGACAATGCTTGGACAGTTTTGCAAGGAGGAATGGAGTGAATATTTACTCATTTATTTCTTGTTATTTTACTGATCATTATTTTGTGTAAATCAGTTTTCAAATCAGTTTTTGTTGCTGTTGTTTTGTAAAAAAAAAAAAAAAGCGAATTTCTGCTGCTTTTACGACATCCAGTTCCTTTTTAAAAGCAGCGTATATAATTGCGCACGTCTTTGCCTATTTCTTATTCAAATAACTACTTTCAGTTTGTTTTTTTCTGCTTGTTTAAAGATCCACACACATCCAAGCGTGGCAGAACTGATGGACAAAGTGTCTCTGTCTCTCCAGGTAGCATTACTCAGGTTCCTCAGCTCTGGATATTTCATGATGCCAACAGGGGAAAGTGAGAGATGTGAGGAGAGAGTAAAAGCGAGAAGAAAGCTGAGAAACCAGAAGAGGGAGCTGTTCTCCCACACGGGGCAACTGGCCTTGATTGCACTCCCTAAAAAAAAGTCCAAAGTGGAAAGGAGCATAATCACATAGGAATTTTATAACCCAAACACACGGCACAGACGCTAAATTCACATGTGCCAAAGATTTATGACCGTTGCCATGACTAATATCACATCTGCTGATTTTTTTTTTTTTTTTTTTTTTAACTGGTGCAAGCTGTTTTGTCAATAGGGGAAAGCCACAAGGAGATGGGCTGTCTTGCTCACGAAACATTTCCATAACTCCCAGTGGATGTGAATCTGTCTCAGCTTGCGGGAGAAAATAGGGAGGGGATCGAACCGAACAGGGAGGGAAGAAGAAGGAATGTAATGAGATCTCGTCATATGATTTCTGTTTGTGTTTTTTTTTTAAAAAAAAAAAAAAAAAAGCTAAACTCTGATTACATCGTCGCAATTTGGGGGACGTTAGTAACTTTTTCCAGAACCTCTCAGCTCTCTCTGTTTCTCAAGCTCTTTTTTGTTTTTTTCAGCAACCAACAGCATATTTTCCCTTGCCTCTTTTTTTTTCCTCCCTTCTTCTCCTTTCAGCGTGACGTGTGAGTGGAGTTCCTGCCCTTGTCTCTGGCAGTAAAGCTTTGAGTGCAGGAAAAGTGAAGGAACTCGTGCAGCGGTGGTCACCGACTCTGACCTGCCACGGGCGAGATGGATCGGAGGTGTCAACAAGAAGGAGCCCAGAGCATTCTGGCCTGAGTGTGTGTTCTCTGTCCTCTCAGGAGGGGAGGGGAGAGAAATCCGGACTACGAGGAGGGAGGAAGCCAAGAAGACCAGGAGAAAGTGGACAAGTTGTTGGGCTGTGTCGCTTGTGGGCAAAGGTGAATGAGAAGGAGCAGCTGAGGAGTCTGTTTGAGAGAGGAGGAGGAGGAGGAGCGCTCTGCTGAGGGGAAACCACCACTGTATTCCTCCCCCAGCGCTAACAGGACAGGATGAGGTACCAAAGCAGGGTAAGATCTACCTTCTGATGCTCTCTGTTGTGTTTGCAACACTCACTGCTGCATACAGGCTTGGATTCAGCTGTTTTTAGACTGCTTGGCACTCACACACTAAAGATCTGAACCACCACGGAGACGACACAAAGGGAAAAAGCAAAGTGGACCAGTGACTCACTCCGGGACTCCTCTTTCCACCCTTATGATTTGTGTACATGCTGAGGTTTTTGTTCGGGCTTTAACTCAAACCAGAGCTGGATAAACACGGGATTTCTCCACCAGTTTCAGCCTCCAGCACACTGGTGTTAGAGAGAACCAGCTGTGGTAGAAGACCAGCTCACTCCAGGACGCGGCGGAGGGGCGAGCCTTATAAGGAATGCAATCTGTATGTAGTCGGCCCCGCAGAGCTCAGTCGTGGAGCCTGGAGCCAAGTTCTCCTCCGAGCGCTCCTCGCTGGCTGTCACTCCGGCTGCACCTACAAACTTGCGAATTCCACCAAAACCATCTCTGCCAGTCGGCGTCAGACCCTGCACAGAGCATTACCTACCAAAGCACACCGTCTCTGCATGCCTCGGCGGGTTCTCTGACAATAAAATCAGTAGGGATTAAAGTGTTTTCTGTTTGCATCTCCGCCTCCGGTGTGCAGAACTCCAGGGTACCTTAGCCAGAGACATAAAGACAATCCTCACTTCTTTTCATAGGTCATTTCAGTGTCCTTTCTTTTGTCAGATTTTTCTGAGGAGCAATCCTGAAAGTTTCATGAGTAACAAAAGTTCATGCAGTGTCGGTATTAGTTTACTCTGGTAAAAAAAAATAAAATACAGTATATGTATCTATACTGTATATATATTTGGCTGCTGAGCCAAATCCTGACTGATGGTGACAGGATTTTAGTGTTTTAGTTTGTCTGTTCACTTTTTGAGGACTGATAGCACATTCTGGGCCTGGGCACATTACCTGGCCTCTGCAGGACTTGATGACATGCTTAGGAGGCAGTGCACCCATTTTATTCAATTATTTCAAATCAGGGATGCGTCTTGAAGTCGCACGATCGTGGCTCTTTATTGCAAAAACACACAATCTTGCTGAGTATTTTTGGTCTAGTTTCTAGTGCAAATATCTTAGGACACCTGAAATAAGACTAAACTACAACATGGGGGAAGATGTCTTTATATAAGTGAAATAACCTGCCAATGTAACAAGTACTTTTTCATCAATACTAAGGAATTATTGACTTAAAACAAGCTCCTATGTCTTGCCCATTTTCAACGGTACTAAGATATTTGACTAGAAACTAGACCAAAAATACTGGGTAAGATTTTGTGCTCTTGCAGTGCTGAAGACTAGAGCTGAAGGTCTCTGATCTAAGGGAATGTCAGTGTTTTGATCCCTGAGCCACTCAGTTGCATCTTTTTCTATGTTGCACAACGCTCCGTCATGCTGGGAAAGGCGTTACTCATCGTGAAACCTTTCCTGCACCATTTGGTGAAGTTGCTCTTAGAGGATGTTTCGTTACCATTCTATATTCAAGGCAAAGTGAGTCCACCGACTTCCTTAGACAAGAGGCGACTGTTGAATGGTCTCAGGATGCTTCTCTGTTGGGATGGAACGGGACTCGTGGGAAGACTCGACCCTTTTTCCAGATGTCCTAAATGTTTCCTCACCGGAGAAAGTGCCTCTGCTTCAGTCTTCTGCAGTCCAGTTTCATAATGTTGATGTTTTGCTTGGCCAGAACTGGGTCCTGTGCAGCACTTCTTAAAACCAGTCAACCGTCTAAAAGTGAATGCCTCACTTATACTTTGCCTGATGACATTTTTAACAAGTTCTGTACTGTAAGTAATGAGAATAACGGAGTGAAGTCAACTTCCTTCTTACGTCGACTTGAGAACGATTGTTGAAAAGATGCTAGCTGGTCATTTTTGCAGCAGGGCTAAAATTAGAATTTGTGATTAAGTTAATTCCCAATAAATGTAATTAACTTTCCAGGTAACTCCATTTCATCTGATCGCATTGCACAGCGACCTAAATTGCTACCATAAAAACACTTTTAGTCTTGTTAAAAGCAAGATTTGCGTCAGTCTCTCAATGTTTGGCCATGACTGTAGCTCTGGATAAAGGCCTCTTATTGCTGGAAGTTGTTTGGGTCCAGTGATGCAATTCCTGGAACTGAGACAAAAAGTAAACTCATGACTTGAAATTAATAGGGCCTTCGAGGGAGTGTCTTGCTGTGTTTTGGAGTTGAATTAAAGCAAAGGGGATTTCGCTCCTCCAGCCTGTAGCGTTACGCAGAACTGTCAGACGTTTTGTACACTGTATACATGCTGACTGCCAACTACGTACTTCAGAGGACTGCAAATGTCCTGAGTCATCCCTCATTTCTTTATGCTGCATTTTGTAAAGAGTATAAAGGATAAATATTTGGAGCAGCATGACTTTAGACTTTCTGAGGTTCTTTTGATTTTTCTTCTTTCAACTTTGGCTGTTTTTATTTTATTTTATTTTTTTCCATTTATTCTATGTTCACTTCAGTACGTATATTGTTTGCTTCTTAAGCCTCCTAACTCTGACCCACAGTGCTGGTGTGAACTTCACATACAGCCATAATTGATTTGAATTTATTTGTTGTAGACTTTAATTTTTTCTTATTTTTGAGCCAACAGCATTCATGTAAGTTCAGATTTATACACACACAAACATTTTGATATATTTGAAGAAACTAAATTGATTGACTTTCTTTGAGTTGCCATTTCTGAAGCTCAATGTAAGCCTGCGTTTTCTGTTTCTCAGTTTTTTCATGTGTTTGCAGTCATGGCTCTGATCTAACATCAAACTATGTCCAAGTTTTTGAGCCATGGAGTGAGATTGAAGAATTTAGATGTATTCTTCATTCAGTTTTTAATCCCCTCTTTGCAATGCACCAGTTCCAGCTGCAGTGAAATGGAGCCTCAGAATGATGCTGCCACCTCCATGCTTCAGTCTATAAAGTATTTTTTAGTTTTGAATTTAATTGGAGCTTTGTTAACTATGAATATGTTCACAGATGTTCCTGCATCTTTCCTTGAGTCTTTGTGTCCCCTGCTTGTTCCTCAACATTCTGACCTTTTGCTTGAAATCTAAGGGTGACCATTTGGATCAAAGGATTATGATTTTTGTCTCTAAAAGATCAAATATTCTAAACTCAAGGGGTAAACCTGTGTTTTTTTCTACAAATTGGATCCTGTTGCTTTTAATGTGTGGCACTCCCCTGCAGCCTATCAGCACAGGAATTTGGGATTATCTGCATCGCCACACGAATGTCACATTCTCACATGGGTATCACTGGAAACCCGACTGTGGTATTTGTGGAAAAGAAAATATGGTGTGTCTGTGATCTCAGAATTCCTTAAATTCATCCTTTGGAAAAAAAAATCTGACAGTGAACTGAATTTACTGTCTGTAGGAAGGCCACCTGCAAGTGGTGGAACAATACTCCTGAGGTGAAACCTAGAGGATAGGCTGGGGTGGAAGTGTTTGCTGACTTTCCTCTGCTCTTGGCTCTCTTCCACTGTTGTCCTCTTGTGTTTTTTTTTGTTTTGTTTTTGTATGGACTTTCCTGCACCAAGGGTCCAGAGATAATGACCTCTTAGCAGCATTAACAGGCCAAATGAGACCCCTGAGACTCTTGCACACATGAAAAACAGAAGTCCTGTGGATGTCTAGCCCCTTTGTTCCACTTTTTGCTTGTTTTTTTTTTTTTTTCCTTTGTGAATGTGAAACAGAAGAACTTCTCTCATGACCAAGCCTTTTGGTACTAAACACAGTGTGCTCTTAGCTTGCTTGGGGTGTGGTGGAACAATTTCACCCTAAATTACGTCTCTGGATTACTATCACCAGTAAGTATCGACTGATATGAATGCCTCTTTGTATTTGTGCTTGCATTTAAGGGCTTGTGTGGTCACGGTCTTACTAAAAGGCCAAACTGGGAATATCGAGAATATCTCTGTGACGTTCGCCACCGTGGTGCAGTTGATATATACACATATTGTCATAGATGTGCTGATTAAATCCTGTCTGGGGACGCAGCAGTGTGTCTGCTGTACATACATCGTAATCTCAACTTCACAACAGAAGATTTTATCCTCTGCGTTTGTCATTAGGATTTTTCAAACGGCCCCACTGTTTAACATTGGGAAGGACAGGTGGAACTTTTACTAATCTGTAAGCAAAAAGTTGTAAAAGTTTCACTAATCTAAGATTATATAGCTATCGTGCCCCTGTATGATTTGATTCCTAAGTTTAAAAAGGTAATTCAGCACATATTCTTACTCTGAGCACCAGATGTTGGTGTGGTCACGGTTGAGAAAATGTAGAATGACTCAGATAAAAACCGGTGCTTCTGTGCCCTCTGCTGGTAAAATACAAAACTGCACCCTTGCTTTATTCACACCATGAATAATTACCGTGTTTGTGCAGGAGGTGGATGAAGGGCGAGTGCGCCTGGTGATGGAGAGCGCCCTCACAGCCCGGGACAGGGTCGGCGTGCAGGACTTTGTCCTGCTGGAAAACTACAACAGCGAGGCCACCTTCATAGAGAACCTGCGGAGACGCTTCAGGGAAAACCTCATCTATGTACCTACAGCCACTTCTCTTCAAATACTTTGAAATAAAAAAGAAGCACAAAAATCACTCTCCCCTCGATATTTTCCCCTCAGACGTACATCGGCTCGGTGCTGGTGTCGGTGAACCCATACAAGGAGCTGGAGATTTACTCCAAGCAGCAGATGGAGCGCTACCGAGGTGTCAGCTTCTATGAAATATCTCCTCACATGTGAGTCGCTGCGTGTTCCTCGTTCGTTATTGAATGTTTTATCTTGAGAATATTAGAAACTGAAAACTGCTCTCATTATTTCTGTCCCTCCGACTCTTGAAAAATCAAATGTAAAGAACAATAAAACAATAATAACAATAATAAAAAATGTAATTGTAAAAGATTAGGGCTGGACGATATTCAGGAAAAACTTTTTCCACTTTTCTATCATCATGTTGTCCCCAAAATCAATACCTGTTGTTGGCATAAGAGATAGAGAAAGGCCATGTTACTGATCAAATATAATAAAAACATGCAGAGTTTGAACTTAGATTGTTTCCCCTTAATACTTATCCAAGTTTTTAACAACAGTCAACTGCGTGATGCCAAATCTCAGTGTAGCATCTCACTAAAATAGGCTAATTCTAGAAAAAAAAACATGTTGCGCTCCATTGATATTTCATGGTATCATTGTTTTCAAACGTCTTAACTTTTAGCAGACAGAGTTTCAGCTACTCTCTGCAAAATCTCCCCCAGCTTAGGTGGAGATTTTTTTAGCTCTGGTTTGATCAGAGCCCACATAACACATACAGAAGGAAAAGTGAAGCTGTCTCTCTTTAAAAAATGATTGTCATTGTTAGAAAAAAAAATCATGTTTGGTAGATCAAAAAAGTTACAGGAGAAAAATCAACACCCTTGAGGCCTTTACCATCAAATCCGCCAAAAGTCAAATCAGATAGCTTACCCTTAAAATATTTTTGACGAGTGTTAAATCTAATTTCCTATAATGTAAAAAATATATATTTTCAAGTCTTAAATTGACCATTAGAAAAAAAAAAACCCTGCTGTTTTGAGTTATTTTTTTATATGTCATTTTGTCACTAAAGCTTCTTTTGTGATATTTTGTATTTTCCTAAAGCTATGCCATATCAGACAACACATATCGGGCCATGCGAACAGAGAGGAGGGATCAGTGTATCCTCATCTCAGGTGAGAGTGGGGCAGGTAAGACGGAGGCCTCCAAGAAGATCCTCCTCTACTTCGCCGTCACCTGCCCCACTAACAACCACATGGTGACCCTCGGTGACCGTCTGCTGCAGTCCAACCCTGTCCTGGAGGTGCGCCGTGTTATTTGGTGTCATACACTTCTTTTAAATACTTTATGTCGATCAAGTTATTTGAAGTTGTGCTTAGTGCAGACACTTCAAATCCATTGTGTCGTATTTTTCTTTGTGCAGGCTTTCGGTAACGCCAAAACACTGAGAAATGACAACTCCAGCCGCTTTGGGAAATACATGGATATCCAGTTTGACTTCAAAGTAAATTATGTTTTTGTTTTTGTAGAACGGCAATTCATCCGGGATGGTTTTAAACCCTCAATTAAAATCAAATTATTTCTTTCTGGTCTCGGTGCTCTTTGTGTGTGTGTGTGTGTGTGTGTTTTTTTTCTAGGGTGCAACAATGGGTGGTCACATCCTCAATTACCTGTTGGAAAAATCCCGGGTGGTGCACCAGAACCACGGCGAAAGAAATTTCCACATCTTCTATCAGCTCCTCGACGGAGGAGACGACGACCTGCTCAACACACTGAACCTGGAGAGGAACCCTCACAGCTACCGCTACCTGGTTAAAGTACTGCAGCTCACCAAACCACCTGTTGTCCAACAGCGGATCGTGCAGCTTCGTTGTCATTTGGGTTTTCATATTGCTTTCTTTAGGGAAGCTGTGCAAGAGTGAGCTCCATAAGTGACAAGAACAACTGGAGAGTTGTGAGGAAGGCCCTGGACGTGATCGGCTTCACCGCAGAGGAAGTGCAGGTGACAAACACGGAGCCGAAACTTGCATTGCCTGGTCCAATATCAATGCAGTCATTTAAAAGTTTTAAACATCATCTCGGTCCGGTTTACGGAAAAAAAAAAACATTCAGTTCAGCTCAAATTCAAGTCACTGCAGAAGAGTCTGGTCATATAATGGGATGCAGCTTCAGGCACATGCGGTTCAGTTCAATTCAATTTATAATGCCGTACCAGTTGAGATGATTATTTATTGCCAGTTGATAAAAAGTTTTCCATCCAAGGATTCAACATATTCAATATTTATAATTCCATGAGCCTTTTAAACCAAACTGGTTGTTTCCAGCTGTTTGCTCAGCTGTTTGTCCCATCTGTTGGCCTCAGAAACTGCTGAACATCATCGCCAGCGTTCTCCATCTGGGCAACACTCTCTTCGGGGAAGGGGAGGAAGGAGAAACTTATATCATCACTGAGACCCAGCTTTCAAACGCTGCAAAGGTCAGAGCAGTCGCTGTGGTATTTCTACATGCTGAATTATGCCAGGAAAACAAAACAATAAAACAGCACAGCTGACAGCACATGTGCCGTTGTTGTCTTGCAGCTGCTGGGTGTCGATGGCTCCGCCCTGAAGGAGGCCCTCACTCACAAGAAGCTCACAGCCAAAGGAGAGGAGGTTATTGTCCTCTCAAGCACGATCCTCGTGCCGCGGCTTGTTTACTGTTTGCTGATTGTCGTGTCTTTGTGGATCACAGATGATCAGCCCACTAAATTTTGAGCAGGCCGTCTCGGCCCGCGACGCTCTGGCGAAGGCTGTGTACGGCCGGACCTTTAACTGGTTGGTGGAGAAGATCAACCAGTCGCTCGCGCTAAAGGTGCAGGAACAGTTGCAGAAACTCAGTCGCTGTGCTGCAGGGTTGCTCGTGTGTTTTAACACTGATGTGTGATTTGCAGGAGGAAATCTACCACAGCAGCAAAGACGCCTCGGTCATTGGGCTTCTTGATATCTACGGTTTTGAGGTCCTGCAGCACAACAGGTGCAACTCTAACCCTTTCATGCATGAATTATGATCCTTTATGTCAGGATTTGTTTTTTCCACAGTGTTTTTGATTTTCTTAAGGCATAAAAAAAATGTAGTAAAACAAAAAAAAAAAAGATTTCTAGGATTTTTTTTCTAGGTGATCAGTTGTAATTTTCTCCAAATACAAAGTTGTTATTTGGAAAATACGTCAGTAATATTGTTTGTTAGGTGCTACTTGATGTCACAATATATATATTTTTTTTACCTGCAAGAGTCGTCTACAATAGAAAGAGGGACCGGGACTTTTTCGTCTGTCCGCCATATTGGATTTAACAAAAAAGTTTCTTGCGCTTGCAGTGGATGGCCAGCAGTTGATAACGTATTTTATGATGCATTAGTCCCACTTCAGTGGTCTGTGTGCATTTGTAACATAAAAATCCACAAGAAGCACAAGAAAATGGCTTTTAGATAACTGTCCACTGCAGTGAAAGGGCTAATCCTCATTTCTCCACTTTGTGTTGGACGCTTTTTAAAAGTCTTTTGTGAACAAATGTCTGCTTCACATGTCTCTATAGTCATTCATATACTGTAATTCTAACTCCTCCATCAGTTTTGAGCAGTTCTGCATCAACTACTGCAATGAGAAGCTGCAGCAGCTCTTCATAGAGCTCACCCTCAGATCCGAGCAGGAGGAGTACGAGACGGAAGGAATTGCCGTGAGTCAATTTTCCTTCCCCCCACCCCACTCGATCGTCAGAACAAACAACTTTGACACATTTGTTCGTAGTTGAGTGCACATAGCAACATAACATCGGTCTCCTTAAAACACAGTGGGAGACGGTGCAGTACTTTGACAACAAGATCATTTGTGACCTGATAGAGGAGAAGCACAAAGGCATCATCTCCATTCTGGTTTGTATGAGCTGCGTGTGGTCTCTTCTTTCCATCTGCCGCTGGCTGGCTCTAAGGGAACTCTGTTTCAGGATGAGGAGTGCCTGAGACCGGGAGAGACTTGTGATATTTCCTTTTTGGAGAAGCTGGAGGACATAGTTGGCGGCCATCCCCATTTTATCACGTACGAACCATCGAAAACATAAGTACAGGTTCACATACACTCCCACAATATTTGGTTAAATGTCCCTTAGCAAATTACTGCTCGACCACACACAATGAACAAACTTATAGCATAATTTATGGCTGGACAGTAGACCATTTTTCTTGTGAGAAATTACAACGGCTGATTTCATGGCCTTTAAATGCAGGACATCTTGAAAAAGGCTGAGTAATAGACTTTGGAAGCCCGTCCTGAAGCTAATTTTGTTTTCCGTTTGAGGTCATTGTTCAAAATCCAAACTCTGTCGAGGTTTCACTCAGCGTGACCCACATTGATCCCCTCAGATAGAACATTTTTTTTACTTAATCAGACTAAGTGACTCCCGTTTCAGTTCAAGATTGCCAAAATTGTCTCCACTTCCCAAATGCCAGAGTAGTTGCAATGAGTTCAATCTGAAAGAGAGTTAAGTTATTCTGGATGTCTTTCAGGCACAAGTTGGCGAACGGAAAAACTCGCAGGGTAATGAGCAGGGAGGAGTTCAGGCTGCTGCACTACGCAGGAGAGGTCAACTATAATGTCAACGGTAAAATAGATCTAACATCTGATGTTTCATTCAAGTATTTCACGAAAAGTCTTTAAAGAAGAGTTAATTATTTAATAATAAACAGTGTTTCTTTTTTTCTTCAGGTTTCCTGGACAAGAACAACGACTTGCTGAACCGGAACCTAAAAGAGGTGATGGGAATGTAAAAACCAACACCAGAGGGCTTTGCAGCACCTTTCTGAAATGATGGGGTTTTATTCATTGTTTCTGTGAAGAGGAAGGGGAGGGCGTGTCTTCCTGCGTTGTTGACTTGTGGTTTTGTGGTTTGGGTTTTTGTCCAGGTCATGTGCCAGTCAGAAAACCAGATCCTAAGTCACTGCTTCCGCAGGGAGGAAGTGATCGACCAGAAACGTCCAGAGATGGTGCGAATGATTTCCTCGCAGCCTACCAGCTCTTATTTTACATCTCAGGCTGTTTTATATCAAACAGCACAGAAGTCTTCTGTTCTCAACAAACCTCCAACGTTTTGCCACGGTTTATTGGTTTTGTCTTTCTTCTTTTAGGCTGCTTCCCAGTTTAAAAACAGCTTGATGAAGCTAATGGAGATCCTCATGTCCAAAGAGCCGTCTTACGTTCGCTGTATCAAGCCTAATGACACCAAGCAGCCAGGTACATTCAGATTCCTCCTGAAAATCACTTGGAAATTACTAGTTTCAAATTAAATAACATCGTACCCTAAAAATAACAACAAAAGAAACGAGATATGGTGGAAACAGGTTATATATAGATAACGGTAGGGTGCCATATTTATTTGGACCCCTGGTCAAGAGGAGTAAAATGTAATCTCGAAAAAACAGAAAAATCCAACCTTTGATTTGTTAAGTAATTTTAACCATGCCACATCAGACAGCCTTTGTTTTAATTCACGCTTTACTTTTTAAAATTTAACAGAGAATTCAGGAACTTTTAATTAATAATCAATGACTTATGCAACGCAGACTGAGCAGAATAATTGTATGAAACATCAAGCGTCTCACGCTCCAGACCTAAATCTTATAGAAACCCAAACTGCATAAATCTACTTAGGCTAAATGTAGACTTTTCTGCATTTTCCAGTTTGAGATTTTACTGCAATAAACGATAAATGCATTTCGAAACTTTTCACACATCCTTTACCAGGCTTGTTGATAAATTTAGCAACACTATAAATGATCGTCTCACTTCTGTCATCAGAGCTGTAGAGACACCAAACCCTGAACCAAGTCCAGTTAAAATCTTAGTTGAGAGACATATCATGTTTGGGGGTTTTTTTTTACCAGTTGGTTGCTTCCTGATGCCTTAAAATAAATATCCGTGACATGTTTCGTGAAAAAAACCACAGAGATCCGACGCAAAAACTCCTCTTTCAGCCAATGCTTTTACTGGTATGAGGTGGAAGGAGCTGGCTGACTCCCACTGGCCCTGCCTCACTGAGCGTCAGTAATCCAGTTTAAAGTTACCATGGTAACTTGCCATGCAAAAGTTGGACACAAATCTGACACAGTGTAGTGTCAGTGGCGCAAAAAGTGGGTATGCAGGGCATGCAACGCATAGGGGCGCAGCACCAGAGGGGGCGCCAAAACCCCGTCTGGAGGGTGCCGATTATGTTTTCCCATACAGTTCAGCGCGCCTTACGCTCCTTCACCTCACGCACATAATGAGGTAAATCTAGCGCGAGTTTCACACTTAACATATCCTCGCCCCGGGTGGGGGGCAGCGAGCGTATGTTTTCTACGCTGAAAACATAAATCGGGCGCGCCATTTTATGTTTTCGCATCCACCTGAATAATGTGCAGTTGCGCCACTGTGTAGTGTAAGCGTATGTTTTCTTATATTTAAGTCATCTAAATAAGTTCTGATTGCTGAAAGGAAACTTCTCTTTTCTGAAAAGCACGAATGAAGCTGGACCCCGGATAGAGTCTGAATCTTACGAGACATGTCACATATAAGACATCCAAATGAATGTGCTTAGTCAGAAAAAGAGTGATCATTAGTTTTTACAGTACAGTGTATCTCTTCTTTAATAAAGAACAATTGCTTTCTTGAAAGTTTGTAGAAGCGGCGGGTCTGAAAACCAGGTCCATCACTGAAAAGAAAAAAGATTAGGTCGTGTTTAATTTGAAGATTTGGTGTAAATCATTATGCTCCTCGTTAACTGTAATGGTAATGTGTTTCAAATGACATAGTAGATGTAATATGAAAATGCTGTCCGCCTTGCAGGACGTTTTGATGAAGTTCTGGTGAGACACCAGGTGAAATACTTGGGTCTGATGGAGAACCTGAGAGTCCGGCGCGCTGGCTTCGCCTATCGCCGTCGCTTTGAGGCGTTCCTGCAGAGGTGGCCCACACGTCCTCTCATCTCTGAAAGTCTGTTCATCTGATAAATTTTAAATGACATTTAAATGCAACTTAGGTACAAGCCCCTGTGTCCCGAGACTTGGCCCAACTGGAACGGAAAACTGGCTGATGGGGTTTCTGCTTTGGTGAACCACCTGGGCTACAAACCAGAAGAGTACAAACTGGGCAGGTAAACAGAGGACAAAGAGCTTTTGAAAACAGATCTAAGAGGCAACGCTCATTACCACTCGTTTAATCTATAGCCAATCAGATCGTATTAAATTCTGCTGCAATGCCAGAGATCGAATGGAATGGTGTTAAACCACAATGTGGTCCAGAAACATTTATCAACTCCTAATTCATCATAAAGTCAATGAATCCTTTCGACAAGTGCAGGAAATGTAGATTTAGCAATTTCAGGTGTGACAGCTGTAAATGTGAGTCGAGGTTGTGAGTGTAGTTGATTTCCGTGGAGCAGAGTGTCACTCTTCTGTTTGGTGTCTTTTTGTCCTGTAGGTCAAAGATCTTCATCCGTTTCCCAAAAACTCTCTTCGCCACGGAGGATGCCCTAGAGGCGAAAAAGCCAGAGATCGGTAAGAGACTGCAAGCATCTTACGTTAACATGGCACACGTAGAACTTTGCAAGGTGCAGTTTGATTAGAGGACCAGAAAGGCCACAGTTGTAAAAACTTTGCCAGAGAGCTGCACCGATCTGCGTTTTGTGATTTACGTCTAGTCATATTTTTTTATATAGCTTTGACCTGCTGATGCTTATTTTAGGCAATCCTGATTTCTCTTTAAGATCTGCACTGTTTTTATTTGGTATGGGCTCAAATTCCAGCAATGTGTGCCCATAGGTCTAAGCGTAAAACATTTCACTGCTACTAAACATTGATCATTTTGAATCGTCCTACCTCAGTAAAAGCATCCACGCCAAACAGTGTCCTCTGATTACACTGGCAGGTTCACGGTTTGAAAAAAAGGGCAGATATGTGAGTTTCCAGCCAGCCAGTCACCAGTCAGGACATTGCAAACTGCTTCCTCTGTCCATATTTATTTTATTCACAACAAACCGGCCTCTTTAAGCAACGTGATGATCATTAAGGCGAACTCCATGGTGAATCAGGAACTCGGGACCACCTTCATACATTTCATATCCAAAATGTGTTGTTTTTTTTTTCTGTTCTGTTTTCCTCCAGCTCTGACGCTGCAGAAGTCTTGGAGAGGTTACAGGGAAAGAGCCAATTATCAGCGCATCAGACACGCAGGTCCCCACAAACGTCCTCCCTGGGCTTAACAACTTCTTAGTGTTGTGTCTCTCAGCTGGAAACTACATTTAACTTTACTCCTATGAGGACGTAAGCTGAGTTTTTGATTTAATGCGTTATCTTCAGCAAAGACTAATGTGTGCATGTGCGTGTTTGCATAGTTATCGTGATCCAGTCTGGGTGGCGAGGGATGAAAGCACGCAGGAGGGCTAAAAGGCGCCGCGAGGCAGCTCAGTTGATACGCAGGTGAAGGACCAATGCGTTGGATTAGTTTTGCAGCTTTCCTTTTTCTGTCCACAGCAATTTCTAAAATAATTTCCTTCATTTCAGGTTCATAAAGGGCTTCATCTGCCGTCACGAGGAGTACTGTGACGACAATGATTACTTCCTGGATCATGTGCGCTGCTCCTTCCTGAAACATCTGAGGAAAAATCTCCCCCGGAGCGTTTTGGACAAGAGCTGGCCGACACCTCCTGCTCTGCTCGTCGAGGTTAGAGCAATATGTCCGTCAGCTGGCTGAAGCCTCTACACCCACATAAAACACAACCATCTCCTCATATTGTTGTATTCCCGGCAGGCCTCTGAGCATCTCCAAATGCTTCACATGCGGAACATGGTCATCAAGTACTGCAGGAGAGTTCAGCCTGAATGGAAGAAGCAGGTGTGCATGTTGCAGCAAATCCAGTAATTATTGGTACCTCTGGTAAAGATGATTAAAGAGAATAAATAGATTCATTTTTTTATTTGGGGGTGGGAAAATATCCACCTTTTCATTTGAGTTCACTGGGAGGTAAAATCTGGTCATTCCATAGCATTTTTGTAAATGTTAACAGACTTCTTAAAATAATCAGTTTCTATGATTTTACTCTGTATGGGTAAATGTAAAATGAACATTGTTCTTTTATTCTATAAACTACTGACAGCATGCCTCTGAAATTCCAAGCAAAAATGTTGTATTTATTTGCAGACAATATCGAAAAAGACACAGTGCTTTCAGACCTCAAATAATGCAAAGAAAACAAATTCATATTCATTTAGAAACAACAGTACTAATGTTTTAACTCAGGAAAAGTTCAGAAATCAATAATTGGTGGAATAACCAGGAGGTTCTCGATGGGGTTCAGTGGAGTGGTGTCGTAACTTTTTTCAGAGCTGTGGTTAGCTGGCTCTAACAAATAGTCTGATATTTATAATGATATCATTCGTGATGTGGGTCTGCTGCTCTCCCAAAGGCCCAGAGAGCAGGAGATTTCAAATAAATCCCCATAAAACTGGAAACACTGGATATTTATTCAAAACATGGCAAATAAATAGAGGGATGGGTCAGCTGACATAATAACAACCTCCTTCTGTGACCATCCCTCTTTTACAAACCTCAGAGTATTTTACTTTGCTTGACTTCTGTGTTCCCTTCAGATGATGCAGAAGGTTGTAGCCAGTGAGATCTTCAAGGATCAGAAGGGCAGCTATCCTCACAGTGTTGGGAGGCTGTTTTTGGACACCAGGCTCGGTAAACCTTCACATATCCCACGTTTAACTCCGTATCACGAGCAGAGATGTCACCGACTCTTTCCGTTGCTTCGCAGAGCGAGAGCAAATCAGCCTAAAAGTCCTCCAGACTCTCGGGAGTGAAAAAGTGCAGGTGGGATTAAACAAGATGAAGAACGATAAACAAACGCTACCTGGCAGCAACGTGTATCCCTTGTTTTTCTCAGTATGGAGTCGCCGTCATAAAGTACGACAGGAGGGGCTTCAAGCCCCGCCCCCGTCAGTTGCTCCTCACCAACTCCTTCGCAGTGCTGGTGGACCGGACCAAGATCAAACAGAGGTTGGACTACGCCGCTCTGAGAGGTGAAAACCAGCTGCAGAGGTGGACCTCTCACATCTTGGTTTTTTCTTAACCTCCAACAAATGTTTCTGAATTTCTGGAACTATTCCTGCATGTTTGTTAAGATGGCATGGAAAGAGACCTATTATGGTACCTTGTACAGGTTAGCATAGGTCCACTGGCTGTGCAAAACATGTTCATTACATTTTCTGCACCAAATCATTCGCAGGTAGTGAGATCTTAGAAGAAGAATAAGCTTGCTTTAGGACCTCTTGTCACTCAGCATTTACTCTTGCATGTGAAAATGGCTGCAAACTAAGGAGTAATTATAAAACACCATTGGCATTTGACAAACTGTAATGTTTAGTGCTTGCTTCACAATTGGTGACTGTATGATGTAAAGCACTTTTAACTGCCTTGTTGCTGAAATGTGCTACACAATTAAACTGGAATTGATTTGAATTGAACCGTACATCTTTGAAAAGCATTAGTAAAGCGTCCTGCGCAACCGAAACCAACATTTGGGCTTTTTAAAAAAAAAAAAAAAAAAAAAAGTGCTTAGAGTGTTTTTGGAATCAGCTCAGACAAAAATGGAAGCATAAAAACGTGCAAAATGTGAGTTTTACAGGTAAAGGAATCGAAAATTTTGTTTTACGGTCGATTGAGTTTAATGCTGGTTTTCCTTCTAATCAGGGGTCTCTGTGAGCTCTCTCTGTGACGGGATGGTTGTTCTCCACATGCCGTGGGAGGATAACAAGCAGAAGGTACAGCAGGATGTGCTGCTTGTCTGTGTGAACCAAAAAGGCAGCTAGTTTAATCCCAGCTGTGCCTCCTTCAGGGCGACGCTGTGCTGCACTGCAGCCATGTGATCGAATTGGTGACCAAACTGGCCATGATGGCCAGCAAGACCAACTACGTCAACATCAACCCCGGCTGGTCAGAGACTTTTTTTTTTTTTTACTGCTCTGGGTCTTCTGGAGTGATGAATTTTGCAAACTGAACTCTCGATCTCGTTCTGTCCTGGTTGCGCTACGTGGAACGCAGCATTCGGTTTGGCGTGTCCAGAACCAAGGAGGGGATAATAGACTTCGTCAGGGGTTCAGAGTTGAAGGTGGCCAAAGGCAAACGAGGACATCTGCTAGTGGTGAGTCAGCGACTGTTCTCCGGTCATGCAGAGATACTGCGTGGGAGGGAGTCTCTGTTTTTGTATGAGAAAGAAAAAAAAAAAAAACCTTCCATCCAGCTGACTGTGTTGAAACTGTGTTTTCCTCTTCAGACCGCCCCTCAGATCAGCGCCACATGAAGATCCAGAAATCAGCAGGAAGATAGTCAGGATGGATGATGCTGAAGTCGGCAAAAGATTTGAAGCTTCGTATTTGGCACTTAAGGGCTCTTTCACTGCTTTCAGATAATCTGCACTGTTTTAAATCAGCTCTCGCTCAACATCAACGATACTTAAGCTGCTGCAGCATTGTTTACTTATCATTCCATGAACAGGCGGATCTCAGTAAATTAGAAGATTAAAAAAAAAAGTTGATTCAACCCTTCAGTTCAACAAGACTGACCACACACAACGATGCATTCTTATTCATTAGGTTAATTTGAATGATTTTTGCTTTTATGAAAACCTAAAGTTCGGTTTCTCAGAAAATTGTGTTATTAACTACAAAAAGGGATTTTTAATACAGAAATGTTACAGCCTACGCAGTCATGTGGATAACTGCTGACTTGGCAGAGGTCCAGCAAACCATATTTAAAAACCCCCAGGTTCAGCCACAAAATGTCATTCCTGAACAGTCTTGATATTTACAAAGGACCGTGTCCACTCAGTGGAAGATTAAGTGGAGGGAAACAAGTGACATGGAAAAAGGCTTAATTGAGAAGATTGTGGGACAAAACTCAGGGAAGAATTTTGGATTTTAAAAAGTGTAAACGGAGATTTGAGTTAGTGATTCAAGGACCACTAAACAGAAATATCCAGGAAATGAACAAAAATTTTCCTATTAGTGATGCTGAGTCACTCCTTTCCCAGAGACATTAGAAATGTGTTTCATGGGTGGAAAAGAATAAATATTGAACAGATTTCAACAGTTTATGATCTGTGAAATATTTTATATATATATATTTAGACAACCTTAGGTGAAAGGTGGACTAAATTTTAAAGTGTTCAGAAATACAATTTATAAAAAAAGATCTGAACACAAATTGTCTTAAAGAGTCTGAATCAGAGCAGAATAATTTAGTACAGATTAAACTTCTCTAAATGACAGTTTTCAAGAAGAACTCCATATAAGACTGTCTAAATGCCAACAGAACAAGGTTACACAAATAATTGTAGACAATTTGTAGAACAATTTGACAAGTGTTTCAGAATTGAAAGAATAAATGTTTCACAAATCACAAATTGTTTTTCTGATCGCCTGGAATTAATCTAAAATAATCAGGTCTGAACTGAGACCCTAAATCTGAGCTGCAGCTTCAAGGATCCAAATACGGGAAAAACACAGAGGCAAAAGTGAAGCAAAAAGAAAACCAGCAAAAAGCAATGAAAACCAGTGATTTCACATGCTGAGGGAGCCGTGGAGTGTATGCGTGGTAGTCAGAGAGTAAGGAACGGCTGTGGAAGAGATTGAACAGGCAGACTGAGGGAAGGAGAAGAAGAATGACACAAAATGAGATTAAACTGAGACCCAAAGAAAGTACAAACCCTGGACCAGACAGAAATCCAAGAGAAATAAATCCAAATGCACAAAGAACACAAGAATTTACAAAGAAATTAAACACAACATGTCAAATTGATAGTTACAATAACATATGGCAAGACCTTTTTCTAACAGTAACAGACCCAGAGGTAATTAGAGACGTACACAATGAAAACCAAAATTAGTCATGGGGTAGTACGAGATTTTCACGATGAGTAAAAAGTGTCACGTTGTCACGATATTAAAAGTAATATGTGTGATATCGTATAATTGTTTTTATACAGAAGCAACAATTATTTGTACTGTTGCTAAATTAACATCAAAGGTTGTTTTTTCTTATTTTAATAATGTTATGTGCACCATTTATTTAATGTCATTTTATTTTATTGCTAAAAAATATACGACAAACACTGTTGACTTGTAACAGAAATGCTTCTTATCGCACTCGCGCTAAAATATTTTCTCTCACCTTAATAAAAGTGACGCAATGCATCCTCACTGCTGTTTTTTTTTTATTAGTTTTCACAATATGTAGCATTTATCTGTGTTTTTAAAAACCAGAATTACGTTCAAGCAGCCAAATTTGCCTTTCCTTGTAATCAAGAAAGACGTGTGGGAGGGGAGGGCTAACACTTCAAAACGCTAAATAAAACTCTGATAAGTTTCTCTCATTAAACGTACCTCCAAACATATGTGCAGTTTGAAACGCTTTAAAAGTCTATCTTGGTACCGATAACTTGCCAATGCTTTGTTGCATCAATAAATAATTTAAATTATCTGGGGGGTTTTTTCTGTATACACAAATGCAAGTGTCTCAAATCGGAGCCTTATGTGTAACAATTTAACCGAGTTTTGACCATTTTAATTGTTTTTAGATCTTGAACTTGAGCTGAGCAACTTTCGTCTGGATTTTTTTAAAAGCAGTGAAATGACCCTTTACTCAAATGTCAGGTCAGAATCTATAACCAAGACTGAAGGACTTTGACTCCAAACTTTTCACAGCGGTTGGTTTGGAGCTGCCTGAAAGTATGAAACATGACTTATTTTATACCTTGACTTACAGCAACTATTAACTATTTAAGTGTTAGAAACATGAAGTCTTCACTGTTTTTCTCAGTTCATTTATTGAAACTCTTCAACACTGTTCAGTACAAAATACTCTCTGTAAAACACTATTTCTCTGCTCATGACATGTTCAAATAAACCACTTTAAAAATAAATAGCACATTAATAAATATAATAATAAATAGCAAATACTTCTTTGGAAAGTCCTGAAGATTGAGGAGGTGGTGGAAAAACAGGATGTTGGGACGTCTGCTAACATCCAATTAGAGGAAAGATAGAAACTTTGGGAAATACCCCAAAAAGCCCTGGGATATTCAGAAGTACATCATTGAAAAAAAATGTAATCCAATGTTGAGATTAATGTTATACAGCTGTTAATCCCATAGCTGGAGGGCTGATGGTTCAGCTTTTGCCCTAAGTCTTCTATCTAAGCAGTCGTTTTGTGTCACAAGTGTGTCTTGGAGGCCAGCAGAAGAAAGTCCCTTGCTAGTTTGGTGAGGTAAAGGTCTAGGTCCCTGAGAATGATGTAACCCTCCACTCTGCTTTCCCACATGGTTCTGGAGCTCCTCTGTCGGTTCTGGAGCGTTGCAGCAGGTGTCGGTCTGACCCAGGAACTCCTTACGGCTCTCATCTGGAGGAAGAAAGCAAAACAAAGTACATCAGACCAGCTGCAGTGTCACTTCCTTTAAAACTCACGTGGACTTTAACAGAGAGCGAGACCAAACAAGAAACAAAACGACACACACGGGCGTATGTGAGTAGGACATCTGGGTACCTGACTGCTGACTTGGTTCATCAGGTCCCGTAAGTCCAGCTGAATGTGTTTGACGCTCTGAAGCAAACCGGCTGCCGTCCTGTGCGTGTTCTGCTCCTTCTCCAGCTGCTTCCTCTTCCTCTCCAGCATGCTCCAGTAGGACTGGATGTCCCTGAACGCTCCGTCTAGACGGTCCCAGTCCTGATCGAGCAACAGGAGATGAACACAGGTCCGTTACATAACGAGAGTCTTGCACAAACCCGCCTGAACATGCTTGCAGCTCTGAAAGGGGAATTCCTCTCAAATTTTCTTAAATTTTATGGCCTGCAAGACGAGGCTTTCGGATGATGTCACCAGACTTTTTTTTCTTTTTAGAATTTTAGGGGAGAAAAAAAGACTCAACAGAATTAGAAATTCTCAGAAGTTTTCACAATTTACAGTGTGACAGCCGGTGGGTGATTTATTTTTGTTTTCCCTGAATTTGTTCTGTGACTCTTACCGACAGCTGAAGCCAGTTGTTGAAGTCTGTGGAAAGCAAAGGCAGATCTCTCAAGCGGTGGCTTCGGTCCTCAAAATGTACGTTTCCCATCTGCTGCTCCTTCTGTGAAAATAAAAGTTTTTTCGTCAGGTATAAAGGAAAAAAAATAAAAAACAGATGTGAACAGACATTTAAATGAGCTGAGATGGGCGGTTCTTGACTGTTGACTGGGTCAGAACTGGTTGCTACGGCTCCTGAACTGAATAAATAGTACTAAATTGATTTCTTATGATTATATGCACTGGCACAGAAATTGTAACTAATTGGTCCCTTGGATCAATTTTGACTTTCACAATATAAAAGATGAATGTAAAATTAAGTTGTTGTACTTTTAGCTGCAGCCATATTGCAATAGGATCACCGTTTTCATCTGCTAGATCTCTTAATATATTTAATAATAAAACATTGTCCTGCTTTTTTTTCTTAGTTTCATTGTTTTGTGCTGACCCCGCCCTGACCCCCTGGTCAATTAGCTCCAGCACCGCCACTGTGGGAGGAATTTAATTAACTTACATATTTCTTCAGAAGGTTCTGCACCCTGGTTCGCGTGGATCTTGTGAGACGAAATGAGTTCTTGTATTTATTTTTCTGGACAAATGGTGATGTAGGAGCAGATTCCACGCAGCTCATTATGCACCAAAGAAGGAAAACAGCACGCCAACTGGGCATCTGGAACAGACACAGGAGTTAATGTGCTGCAAGCTAAAATCACGTTTGAGAGATTATATTTTCTTAAAAATGATTATCAAAGTTGGACAACACTGAACCAAATCATGCAGCTGGATTTGAGCCACCGCTGCCAAATATAGGAAATAAAACAGATGTTACTTTGCACATGTACGGGAGTTTTCAAATATTTCTGAAAGAAATTCCACACCACAACTTTAACCTTTCCCCAGACATCTGCTTACCAAGTATAAACTTCATTTCTTTTGCAATTCAATACCACTGTTTCTGGCACACATAAAACAGAAGTGTCCCAATTCCTCTAAATACTTTCAATGTGGAAGGAAGCATTTCGGCCTTCTTTTAGCGCTGCTTCTAAGCATGCTTCTGCAAGGCACCCTGCAGGCAGCAGACCCCACTAAGGAAGGATGATGCATCAAAAAAAAAAAAAAGATTAAGTCAGATTGCAAAATGTAATGTTCCTATTTCTGTCCTGCAGTTCCGCTGAACTTTGCTGTTGAGAAGGAAAAGGAGCCAATTTTCCCATTTATGCTGGTCATTTTATGTAATTGCATCAAGTGTTGAGACGAAATGACTCAGTGTCTCTGTCACACAGTGCATGATGAAGCCTTCCGTTTCTCTGCTGCGTATCAGTAATTGATGATCAGTTTATAGTTGGTAAGAGTAGCTCATTGAAGATCAAGTAAACGAACAACAGCAATCAGCGGCTTACTAAGACAATAAATATACATGTATGATATCTGGGTCAGACACTCAGAGCCTCTAATATAAACAAGCAAAACATTTCCATTAAATTGTTAATACACAGACATTTTAAATATATATATATATATATATATATATATATATATATATATATATATATATATATATATATATATTGTTCAATTTGGCTTACCTTCAGGGTGATGTGAGAAACAATCTAATGATTTAGTAAACTCACCAAAGCTGCTGTTTATATTCTTTTACAATACTTTCAGTTTCTACCTATCTGCCCCCGCCCCCCCCCCCTCTCTCTCTCTCTCTCTCTCTCTCTCTCTCTCTCTCTCTCTCTCTCTCTCTCTCTCGTCATGCTCTGTTTCTCCCTCGCTCTGCCTTTCTCACTGTCTTTCTGTCTTCTAGAGTTTCACCTTCTTGTGGTGAGTTAAGTGTTTCTTAACGAAACACATGAACGAGAGCAAGAGCAGGAAACCACCTCATTGCCATGACACAAAATTGCCAGATTTTTTTTTTTTTTTTTTTTTAATTTGGCTTTACAGAAACATTGAGATTTACGTTATTGTGTACCCCAACAGTGAGATTAAACCAAGGAATTATTATTTTGTGTAAAACTTGAACTCTTAAATTCTGAAACGTCTGCCTTTTTAGTCTGCGTTTTTATTTGTTTGTTTGTTTTCTTTTTTTTTTCTTTCTTTCTTTTTGTCAGGAGGACGGCTACGTTCAGCCTTGACTGTGCATCTTGGGGAAATCTTTCAGGAAGGAGTCTGAGTAATCATGAATTACTTAGTTACAATGACTCTCACAAGTGTAGAAAAATACTCTAGAAAAGACCCTGTCATCATGATTATTTGGTCACTCTCATTCCTGGAAACACTAAATATTTTCCAACAGCTGGAAGAAAAAGAATTGATGAGAGAAAAAACATGGCTTTCTATTATTATTATTATTATTATTATTATTATTATTATTATTATTATTATTATTATTATTGTTGTTGTTGTTGTTGTTGTTGTTGTTGGTAGTAGAAGTAGTAGTAGTATCACCGTCTGAACCTAACTTCTCCTTTTTAGGTCAATTAGAATTACCAAACCTATTTCTATTTTCTAAATAACAATAATGAGAAAGAATATGTGATTTTTATTAATTAATGTCTTCAAAGTGAGAAGTTTACATTCAGAATGATTTCTATCTCTTTAAACAACGGGGGAAAGAGCCGATGATGATGTCATGACTTTGTAAACCTCTGTGAGATTAACATGGCGCATCCATCACCTGCGGATGTATTTCAGGAAAATACCTAGAGCACACTGCTTTCATTTTTAGAAAGTCCAAAGAAATCAGTTTGCCATTTGCCAAGGCACTGGGATAGAAATGTGGAGCTGCACAAGTCTGGTTCATCTTTGGGAACAAGGATAAACCAGTATGAAATTACTTCAGTGCAGTAAAAGAATAAAAAATAATAATAATATTTTAAAGATTTTTACCAGATTTTTAATTACATATTTCCTATAGTGGAAATGGTTTTTCATCTGGACTTGTGTATGACTAAAAACAATTGTGAATATTGTCAAAAATTAAAACACAGCCACAGCTCTCCCAAAAATAGCTACAATCATGCAATTGTGAATAAAATAATACAAAAGTTGTAAAATAATAGCAATTCTCTAAATACCCTGTTGTCATATTTGACTGACGTTTATATTTTTTTCATTTCTTCATTTTTATTGACTTATTTGTACCAGTTTTCCAGAGAAAACTGAAATGAGATCTCTCTTTCCTTTCAGTGTAAGATCAGAGGCCTAACAACCCTATTTTCTTTAAATTGACTTCGAAAAGTCTTCATAAAATCTCATCATAAAAATTTCCACTTAACGGATATTCTGATGTGTGTGGAAAAAATCTCAACTTTCCTCAAAAAATCTGTTTATTTCACCTCTTAAACATGAAAGAAAAGAAAATCTGACACACTTCTCCATCGCTATAAGTAGTATCACGAGAAGGTTTCAACATCATTTTCAGCATGACACATCAGGAATTCACCTAAGCTAAGCATGCTTGTCTGAAGACTTTCTTGATACTGTGTTTATTTTCAGGCTGTTCAAATTATGTGAAATCCCAAGTTTAGTTGTTGACAAAAGTTTGTGTTTTTTTTGTTCTTTCATAGGAATGAAAATTTCTTTGATTCTAAAATCAGTTTATTTTAAGTAGTTAAAAATATCCTGGGCTGGAATCATCAAAGATAAACCTGGAAGACCTGTTATCAGATGTTTTCTCAGCACTACATTCTAAAAACTGCTTTAGTTAAATTGGCTAATTGCAATCTTCCATAATCCAAGAGCACACATTTTCAGTCTGAAAGCAGGATTTTATGTCTTTTGTTCTCAAAACTTTGAATACTTTTGCTTAGATTTTTATTTTGAAAGCAGGACTTAATGTCTTTCTTCTCAAAACTTGCATTGCTTATACTCAAAACTTCTCCTCAAGCTCAGTCTTTGTTCGGACTCTCCTTTCTTATGGAACATTTTTCTGCTTGTTTCTAGAACAAAATGCACCGTTGCCTGGCAACCTCTCAGCCAATGGAATGAAAGTGTTGTACTGGGTGCGTTTGTTTCCTTCTAGCAGGTGTGCCTGTGTGACTACTATCGATTGTAGCAACCTGCGCTACCCACTGGTTATAGCCTCAGCTTTCTACTCCATGTTACATTAAACATCCGCTAGCAGTATGCTACTTGTCGCTAACACCTTTCTGATATTAGGCAGGAGTTTGTTCACCCGACCCACCCAACCAACCAAGAGCAGAAAAATTCCCCCAGAGTGTTTTGGATGTGACAGTTAAGGGGTTAAACACCATAATTTAATGATGTTATCGTTTCTTTTTAAAACTAGCTCACTTCTGTCCCGGCAGCTTAAACCCAGCATTTGGATGAATAATCCAGCTGTTCCTGGGATCGTTAAAACCAAGTCTTCACGAGGGGAAGTCCCTTTTTTTTCTTAAAAAAAGAAAAAAGAAAAAGATAGTATAACCTCTTATGTCTATTTAAAGTAAAGCATTGCTCAGCTTTACAGTGACAGTTTGAGAGTGTGAGTCAGTAGACTTCCAGTGACTTATTTACTGTCGAAACCACAGTAAAGCTCACTTCCGCCAGAACAGAAATGAGCAAAACATTAAGCAAGCTATTTTGAAAGGAGGATTTAATGTCTTCTCAAAACTTGTATCGCTTGTACAAGTTTTGAGAAGCCCACATGGCTAAACTCTCATTGTTGTTCTATATGAATATTAGAGACAAAGCTGCACTTAAAAGATGTTGGCTTCTTCAAGTATAAGTAGTTTTAATCAATTGTGACTCTGGTTGAGTTACATAAGGCCACCATTTTGAACAGCCTGAGCAGCCCCATAGTCTTAAATAGTTTTATTTGGATAATCTTTCTTCCCAACTGTCCAGTTTTACGCTCAAAGCCGTTTTATTCCTGCATTCCATTTAGCTTTAAGTTGGATGTTTGAGAGACATTATTTTCTTGATTCCTTACAGTCAGTAATGGCTTTTCATGCTAGGTGTTGTCACATAGAAAGCAGTAAAAGACTCTGTAAACCCATTCCAGAACCTACTCTTTAATAGCTTCCAGATCATGTAACCGAAAAAGTTCAAATTAATGCTCAATTGTGTTACTATGCTGGACTAATGAGAGTTACCACTTTCTATTAATTTTAATTAATTTCCTTCTTTATGTTGAAATTTTATGGAGTAATAACTGATCATATATTTACTATACCTTTCAATGTGACTAAAAATTTGTATGTCATGAAGGAAAGTATTAAAATAAAATCCATAATTCATGCCATCCACCACAACAAATGGCTGACAGTCCATCTTTCAGATCGCTGACATATGTGTTTCTTTGTATGAAGGTGTCAAAGATCCTGGAAGTCACATGGACACGAAAAGGCTGTGCAAAGAGAGTTCATATATATATATATATATATATATATATATATATATATACTTTTGACACTGTGTAAAAGTAACAACATGGCCTTCATTGTATCTCTGCTTTAGCTAAACAACACATAACCCTGTGCTGCATCACTATAAATGTCACATGACTGAACAAATACCACATGGCCTCCTCTCTCCTCCTGAAACACACACACACAACATGGCAACAACATTAAAATACACACAGGTTGTTCATATCCAACCAGTTTTACTTTATTGGACTGATACCAATGTTGATACTGATATATTGTGCTTTCCTTGGAATTATTAACATTTTTCCTAATCTCAAATTAGATTGCTTTTTTTTAATCCCACAGTTATTAAATTAATTTATATAAATGCTCTCAATAAAATCTCTAATAATTGACATAGTAAAACAAACAGTGCTAAATATCTCTTATCGAGAAATGACCATGTCTTATCTTGCTGGCAAATTTTATTTAAAATTCTTTGTCACACTGCTTTTCTTCAATGTACGGTTGTGTTAGCATACATTACTGTCTTATGAGCACGTAAATAAGGGGCATAATTTCCCTTTTGTGTCAACCATTACATACCACTGAAACCACAACCTGACCAACATGCAGTTTTTAATGCCAATTTCTACTTTTAAGTTATTTCAAGATTATCTGTTACTCAGCAACATGCATGTACCTTTACCTGTTATTTGCAGAAAGCATTTCCACTCAAAACACATTGGATTTTAAAGTTTTCTAAATGTAACAAAAATTTGTATCTGTTTCTATTTTGTAAGGCTGGTTGATTCATTTGCCTTGTAATTTCATGTGTTCTATTTTGTAAAAGAGATATTGGTTCTGATGAAACTTGCTGGATGTGCCAATTTTACAGTGGCAAAAATAAAGTAATGCAACTAAAAAGACATTAAGTTTCCTCCTTACGAACTATTTGTGATGATCAATACATAATTTCTAACTGAATGAAAACTGCAAGAGAATTTGCTTGCCATGGGTGATTCCTTTTGGGGGGGAAACTAATGTGGTTAGTAAAGGGGGAAGATCTGCATGAAGAAGGGCTTTCCTCATTTTCACTTCCTCTTTTGAAACTTACCGATATGCTAATACTAGTTTTCCCATGTGACACTTGCAATTTACTATCAGTCTATTACCAATCTAGTTCATTTGTGGTTTTAAAAACCACTTTAGCTTTAGTTTTGCTTTTCCTTCCAAAAAGTGCTTGCAAGTCTGAACAGACACCCACTCATCCAATTCATTTTATCGTAAATTGCATACCGGCACATGTGTTAATCATGTGCTTGGCGTTGCAAGGAGGGATAAGTCATGTGGCTTTTTTTTCTCCCTTTTAATCGGTGTTGTTAAAGGGCTATTGAAGCAAGCAAGAAAATAGCACTCTTTGTTTAATTTCACATACACATTGTGGTCGCTTCATTCAAAGTGTAACTCGCTGAACATTAATGAGTGAGGAGACGGAGAGAGAGAAAGTGGCAAAGGGGGCGAGGGAGAGTACACAGGGGAACAGGAAGGCCATCTAACCCTAAAGAACAACTAGACTAAAGAAACATAAAACTAGAGTATGAAGAATAACTATGAACAAGAAATAAACCTTAGAAACACTAAGAAGAACTGAACTAGAATGATGTAATCAAAGAAAAGACTAAGGAATGCAAAATAATCAAACTTGAATAAACTCCAAAACAATCTGGGGTTCTAATACTAACAAATATAAGAACACAAAATTAAACTAGAATAACTAAGAAAGAACTAAACAAAAACATGGCTAGCCTAAAATAAAAGAGGAACTAAGAAACATAGAAATAAACAAAACCCAAAACCAAGTCCAACAAGTTTTTTCCACCGTACAGACTTTCATACACCAGCCTGTTTTTCATTGTTGTCTGCTGTTCTGTGCAAATCAGCAATATTACCATGGGCATCATGGCTAATTCCCTGACTAATTACATTCTTTACAGATGCATTATTTACTCACCACATGGATTGGATGAATTGGATTCTATTTTCAGAATTAAATTTATAAGGAACTTTTAAACCACCTATAATATTTATTTATTCAAAAATTATGCTCCGCTTGGTGTCGGTGTATCATTCAAAATCCCCCAACCATATGTTGAAGTTTGTGACTGTATTGCAAACACATGACAAAAAAATGTTCAAACAGTATACATTTTTTGCCTGCTAAATAAAGGCACCACATACAGAATATGCAGGAAAAAAATAAACATTTTCTAGCATTAGCATTAGAAATAATCCATCCAGACTGTTAAAAACAACTTTAAATGGTGTCAGCTGATTAAATGTTAACTCTAGTATATACAGAAACATATATTTTTGGTTAGTCAGACTTCTTAAACAATCCAGAGAATGGATATTAGATTTTCTTACTATTACTAAAGGGAAAGAAACAAACACATGCAACACACTCAAAGATTTGAAGCAATGTCATTCTCTGTTTTCCTATTTCTTACATTTCAACTACATACGCATTACACTTTTGATTTAGTTCAATTAAGCTTATTTCCTTTGCCTGTCACTAAATTACAGCAAATGTCATCTGTAGGTACTGCAAAATAAAAACCGTCTAAATTTTTTAGACCAAGTAAACCAAAGTATCATTACTTTGGTTTGCTTGGTCAGCACTCGATATTAAATAAATGTCAAAATCTGCATGACTTTATGACCTTTATCTTTAAAGTAAATTCTACCAGTACAGTTTAACTTAAAATGCCAAGTTTAATGTTTTAGTTTCAAATCCTGATTGTAGTTCAGGGAAAAATTTACTTCCTATAAGATTGCCTTTTTGCAGAACTACTCTCCCCTTTAGAGGCAAGGCCCCTTCCCGCTCCCTCTCATATAATGACTCATAAAAATAATGACTCCTTGGAAACATATTTCAAAGTAGTTTCTTTTCTAAACTTTTTTTTTTGGATGACCTAGGAGTTTTATCAAGCATGCACATAAAAAATGTTATATCTATGTTGATCTCCAGTGCAAAATACTGTATATTCACAAACAGTTTCAAATATTGTACAACATAAATAGATTTTTAATTAATCTATCCTGCTTGATATGTACTGAATTTGTATGAAGTTGACATCTTTCAGAAAAAGTATGGCCTCTGTAAGGTACACTTTTCCAATTTGTAAAGTATCACTTTTATACGCAATCTTAATCACATATTAAAATTTCTGATTATTAATTGAAAGACCTACTAACATATTTTACTACAGCTTTCTGTATCTATGTGGAGATGTCATTATTGAAATAGATAATGATTTAAAAGCTCTTTGCATGTTAATAAACCAGAATATTTTAGCCTGCCATGCAAATAACCCATATTTAGCTGCAGGCTCTAATTTCCACCTGCAGTCTGTGGCAATTTGATGTACAGAAATAATTGAAGCATTAAATGACATGATTGTTGAATTACAAAGTATTAGAAACGTTATACAGGAGAAAATGAAAATATACTGCTAATACGCAACAATTACAAACCTACATGCATACAAGTTTGCCAAGAGTTTAGTCACTGTCCTACAGAAAATGACCTGCACGTATTGTTCCAAGTATATGAAAAACGTTGGAGGCAAAATAGATTTTGTGTAAAATGTTATTCATTCATGAGGGTCCTGGTCATGTAACAAACCTCTGGAAGACCTTGTTGCCCATTTCCCTAAAGCTCTATTATGTCTAAGGAACATCACTGCCTTCTGAAAAACGTCCAATAATATTTTGTGGTTGTGTGCTTTACCTCACATGAACCTTCTTTCCCCTTAGAGGTCGCGCTCACACTGAAGGGGTCTCGAAGAAGGCAGCGAGACGTTGAACAACAGGCCAGGACAGCTGGACAAACACAACAGAGAAGCTGGACTAAACATTTGATCATCTGGGTCACCACATGGGGAGTCACAAGTTGAGATGCTAAGACGATGTGATGTTTGAAGTCCAGGAGGGGGCTATGTCCTGGGTATTCTTTACACAAGCATCGCACTCTGTGCCAGGCTCTGGTTCTATAAAAGCTGCTGTTGGTTCACAGACAGACAGATGTGCTCTTGGTTCCTTCCCTTTTTGCCATCTCTAACATTACTTTGTCACCGTTGTTGGATCAGGAAAATGTTTGCAACCATCACGCTGCTGGTCTTCGTGTGTCTGACCACCACCACCCATGCAGACCATCATCACGTGCCTTGTCGTAAGACACTTCTAACACTTCTCTTGATACCCTTTTGTCTATTGAAGGCTAAGAATGTTTAATGCTTTCTGCAAAGGTTGTATAATTTTCTTTTTCAGTGTGGTTTGCCTGGTGGATAAATTTACGTTACTCTTTTGTTTCAGATACACACAACATGACTGGATTGATGAGTGTGGTGAGTCTTTATCTTTATTGTGATTAAGATCTAAACAGGAATGCAAAAAAAAAAAAAAAACATGTAAAATGTTCTTGTCTTTGGACAGATGAACCTAAAAGGTGAAACAAAAGCATTTGGGTCATTCACTTACGACTCAGTGGGCAGGAAACTGCGGTTCACGTCCAACGAGAGTCACCCGACAGACACATCACTTGATTTGGATCTGCTGATGCTTTTCGATGAGGTAGCTCATAAATATCACCCCTTCCCCCCCTCCAAAGAAATGTCACGTTGAGGTTGTGTCATGACTTGACAAGGGAAGATGTTTTTGCTTTCAACAGGGGATTTTCTATGAGATTGACATCAAAAATCATAGCTGTGAGAAGAAAAAGCTTCAAATGTCCTTGCATCCTTTTGACATTCCTGATGACGCCAAGTTTCTCAGTACAGTGACCACCGGGAGCTCCTCCATTAAAGGCGAGGGGCTGAAAGTCACTATCTGGACTGGGCCACTGACAAATATGAAAGGTGGAATAGTTTCTACGAGATGCGACTTCAGTACGGCTTCATAACCTCAGCAGTTTTCAAGTCTGACTTCTGATTTCTCTGTCAGGTTCTTACTCCATGTCTGTAACCATGGGATGTTTGCCAGTGTCCACTTTCTATTTCACTGAAACAACATCATTCGTCTTCAGGTTAGTTTTAGGTGGTTCTTTTGGCCATGTAGAAACAGGATGTAATGGGTAACATCGCCAAATTTCCCTGTAAATTTCATGCTTTTTTTTTTCTTCACAGCAACATGGATGTCGAACTGGAAGTCAAGGATCCTGACCTCCTTGTGGTGCCCTCTGTTTGTCACGGAAAGCCTGTGGAAGACACCCCCGAGGGAACAGTAAGCAGCTTCCTCAACGAATTCATGTAGATGAAACCTGCCAAGTGAAAAATGAAACTTGCATCAAATCATGACTTCCCAGAATTTTTTTTCTTTTTTTTTGCTTTTCTTTAGTTTTTATGCTTAGCTCCAATTTTTCTCTTGATTCTCCGCTTCATCCCATCTGCTTTTATCACGTCTCTCTGCCCTGAGAAAAAAAATAAACCTGTGCTTAATTGATATTGGATTTTGATGTAAGGCGAAAAGCTATGATAAGGATTGCAGAATTAGAAAAGAAAACTAACAAATGGTGGCTGTTCAAATTTGTACCACTGACAAAACATGTAAAATATGATTCATAAAAATGTCAAAGCTGCCAAAAGTGTGATGTGTTTCATTTTTGCCAGTATTTTTTTGTTTGAACAAAATGATTTCTAGCAAAGGTGTGGTTTGGATCGTGGAACATTGCAAACTTAGCCAAGTCCAGAAACCTTTGCACACATTTGTTTTACACAAATGAATATTAAATTAATGTTAAGCATGTTGCCATGAGTTTCCCAATCCAGTAAAGAAACAAATTGTTGTTTTAGGTGGTTCTTTTGGCCATGTAACATATTGGCCATAATTAAATAATGGCATTATTTAATTAAAATCACAAACAAGCACATTAAATAATAAATGGAAATATCAAAGCATTCTTTGTGCCACCAATATAATATAATGCATAATTTCATAATTAAACTGTCAATAGAGTTTTAATTTTTCGCTTGCATAATTGTTTGCAATTTATTTAAGATTTCATTGTACTTGTGCTGTGTGCGCGCTGCAGCAGAACAATGAATAAAAGTGTCACATGTGATTGGTTACCATATAAACAGCATGTTAACTTACAATAAGTCACTTTAGCTGTTGCACTTCTACAGCCACCCACTGACCAACTCTCAGGAGAAAAGATTAATAAATTCAATAAATGTAATAAATTATGAATTCTTAAATTATTGCGAAACATGCAAAGAAATTTTAACCCCCCTCTGCACCCAAAAATTATTCTATTATTGAGTTTGCAGGAACTTTTCTATTGTTTTATAGGCTTGACGCTACTTGTCCTCCGATTCAGGGACTTTCTGTACAATGCCTTATTACACTCTCATTTTTCTGCTTTTCAATTAAGCTTCATCATCCTGTTATTGTTAGTATGTGATTTCCCTTTTGTGTTTTTACTTATCTTAGCAGCTTTGAAAGTGAAAACATGCTGTGCTGAGTTTACTTAAAATTTAAGCAAAGCAAAGTGGAGAATGAAAAAAAAAAGTGTCAGGCTTAAAGAACTAAATAATAAGCACAAAAAAATCCCCCACGGGACCTGAAGGAAGCATTATATTTCCAAAGATCATCAATTTGTGTTTGAGTAATAATCTCAAAACACAAAGTTATTTGATTGATTTCTTATTTTCCTACTGCTAATAAAAATAATGACAAACTACAGAAATTGTTTACCATCTTGGTCCGAAATAGCTTAGCAAAAAGAGGTATAGAAAGTATTGTGTATAGAAAATACATAATAGCACCTCTTTAATGTTTCAGGATGTGGCCCTAGCTGCTTTGACATAACTTGTAGAAATAAAGCACATCATTGTTTTGACAGTTTTGATGTTTTTGGATTGGTGTGAAACCTACATCTTCATATTTTTCCAATGGAAAACCTCAACTTGATCTTTATTTTATGCCAGCATTGTTGAGCAAAGAGTGCTTGGGTCCCTCTTGTACAGGCTGCACAAGTCAACTAATCCTGTGAAGTTGAAATATTTGATTATTTTTAAATAATAATCTCTATTCAGAAAAACAGAGGGACAGACTCATTCAAAAACGTTTTACTTGGGACAAAAAAAAAACCCCAAGTACGTAAAAAGAAAGGGGGGTTTTGAATACATTCAGAAGTAAAGTCGTTAATTACATTGGAAAGGGTTAAATAATCATCTCGAAACAGTTGCAAAATGACTAGAAAATGAGGAAACAAAGACCACTATTACCTTCCTCTGTGGTGGTTAACCTTAAAGTATCATTCTAAGAGCGAAGTGTATGACAAGGTCACAGAAGAACCCTTGGTAATTTTTAAGCAACTGGGAACACTTCTCACGTGTTGGGAGAAAGCCAGAGGACTGATATTAACTGAAGAATTGTTTCTGAAACATCCTGTTTATTTGTGGAGTCCACTGGAGTTTTCCATGATAAGCTTCAAAGTGAGCTTTTTCATGGTAGTTTCTCCAAAAAGGCTTGCTGGACAAACATAGTTCACGTTTCTGAACTATTTGGCTCATCTTTTATTTGAGCTAAATATAATGTTGATGTGGACTGAGAATGATAAAAAAAAAGATGTCACAAATAAAAATCTGAGAAGGGTGATGCACACTGACAGTCTTCTCCCTTTACTCTACTACCCCAAAATAAAATCTACATCTTGTTCTAATATTGCTTAGCAGACTGGGACTATTTTAAGTCATTTGGTACTTATGAATAGGAGCAAAAGAAAGAGAGAAAAAATCTCTCATGAAGTTCCTCAAAATCTTTTCAACTTACCTGCTGTTTGGAGCAGAAAGGGGTTCAACAAGATGAGGGTGCTAAATGAAAATGTATGCCACAGTTTTGAAATGTTGACTTTTTTAAATTGAACACCAATTATCCTCTTTCTTTCAGAGGTCATTAAAGATATTTTATAATACATTAAAATGAAAACATATAAAACAAAAAAGAAGACAAAGAAGAGGACGAAAAAAGTACTAAGAAGTTTACTAATGCAGCAGGGCAGCCTCTATGTGCACTCAAGTCATTTCTAATTAGTTCTGCAATAAAGAAAAGCAAACAAACAAAACAACTACAAGGGACACAAGCAAACCATCAAACTTTGATGAAAGTTGATATTTTCCATCTAAGTGCCTAATTCACCATACAGTTGTGTGTTTCTGTGTCGTGTATGTGAATTCTTACCTGCAGTACACCGTGCCACCAAGAGGTGTCGTTGTGCGCTGCATGAACAACGACAAAATACACAGTGTACCTTGCTATGTTAGCCACCAAGGGGCTCCTTTACGCTAGCTTAAAAATTACCCAAAAATTTAGAGAGGTAGAAAGTGACAGCTTGTTCTGGAAATTAATGAAAACAATCAATGTACAAAGCCCGCAGCGTTTTACTTATTTGGTTTCTGTACGTCTTTGAATTAAAACGAGGTAAGTTGTAAAATGGCGGATAGCTAACGTTAACATCTTGGTAGTTTGTTATTGATGCCACTGTTCTTGGTCACTGAGGAGACACTTGAGAATAATGTCACCTGTAGGTGTTAATGCATAAATCCACTCCTGTAAGAATACTTTAAAAATAGCATGGAAAAATAACTGTATCTTATGGCTTCAGATAGTTTTTATATGCTAATAGTCTTGTTAGCCATTCGCTGCTAACGGTAAAGCTAGCCAAGCTTAAAAGTATTGGGATAATATTTATATGTGTATGTCCAAATATTAAAGTGAATATCTGTCTTTTCAGACGGGTAGCAATGCTTATGAAGAAGTGAAGACTGTTGTCTAATGGAAAACATTGTCAATGTTGAGAGTTAATGCCTCGTATTAATAACACTGGCTTGGATTAGGCAGATCCGTCATATCAAGTCGTACATCAGACAGAGCTGAGAGTGAGCAGGAATCACCCTCCAGCCTCCCAAACATCTGCGTCTGGGATCTTTTTAAGTCGACAACAGCGCTTGACAGAAATGTACTGAAATTGTCCGCTAGAGTGAAGACTCAAGGTGGCGTGAAACTAGACTTTTCCTGTAGTGCGATGTTTATTTTGCAACAGTAACTGTTGTAGAGGCGCTAAAATTCAGTTGACATGTCCATTTATGGAGGTTAAAGTCAACCACTCTCTGCCAGATAGACTAATCTGTGTACTCTCTCTGTGTGGAAGCCCAATAATGATTTTTCACCCTTTATTCAGAATACAGATTTTAGGGTTGCAGTATATCATAGATAATATAAATATCATAAATAAGATTTGGCTTTTTTTTTTTTTAGCCCCTCTGCAGCCGCAGTAATATTTGTGGTAAATATAACAGGCATTATTACAAGGAGTGGAATGGCTGTGCTAATGTGGATTTATTTACTACTGGCCCAAATAAATACTTTTTATGTTTATAGTCTTTTTTTGTTGATTAAGTGGTTATTAAAATTCAAGGCTGTTGAGGCCAGTGTGGCCCATCAGACAGCTTATTTTTTAACATTTTCGCGAAGGAAATAAAAAGTAGTTAAAATACTGAGAAATATAGCAGTAAGTAAACTGCTTTTAAAAGTGAAAGCAGTTTACTTGTAGTCTTTGGGACATAACACAAGCACAAACACCATACAAATATTTCTTGGTAATATACAGTAAGTACTTTAACATGGATATCCAAAAGACACTGATTTTACCCGAGAAATTACTGATGTGAAGGTCTAACGGTCATTATCAAATTCATAAATTTTATTGTGTTTTTTCAAAGAATTATACACACATTCTTCAGTAGGTAGGAAAGCCTAAATTAAGTAGACCAAGCAAAATAAAGAACACAAATCATGACGGGTTAGACATCCTGTCAAAACGGCTATGGTTTTTATTAATTAACATTTTTATCATGCCGTTTACTATTTCTTCTTATATTGTAACTTTCAGGACACATTGGTACGTTTTTGTTTGAGTCAGATAAAAAAAAATTATATAACAGCTAAACATATATATGTATATGTAGAGAGAAGAATTTTGTGAAAAAAAACTTCTGAGTTAGTTTAGACTGGACCCGAGTCTGGGAAGTGATCAAATTGTGAAATGGAAACGTGTAGAAATCCAAAATTTATTTTTTGTATGACAGCTAATCTTAACACCGAGTCCCACAGTCGTCACCATCACAAATAGCTTAGTTTCATTGTAATTATTGAAGCAGAACAACATGCGATTATTAACTAGTTTGTTTTTGACTATTTTTGTTGATATTTATGTACTATAAACAGCCATAGATGGTTGTCAGACGTTTGTTGAAAATCTGTTTTTTGCAACTCAAAA